CCCTTTTTTTTTTTTTTTTGGGGGGGGGGGGGGGGGGGGGCAGTGAGTAAGGGATATGGTGCTGGCCCGATGAGTGATCATCATGAAGAAGACACAAAACGAAGGGCCGGATCATGACATGCCTACGTCGGAGAAGAGTTGGATTCGGATGTGTGATTAAACAGATTGATTTCGTTTGAATAGGTCTGGGTTGGGTCCACTTGGACAGACTGGATAAGGCATTGCGAAGCACATCCGCAAGTTTACTCGGGGCAAACACCAGCAGATGGCACCAAGCAAGCAGCCAGCACAAACAAGTGACAAGACTGAAACGCGAATAAACTCCAACAAGGCAAAAAAAAAAAAAAAGGAAAAAGAAAAGAAAAAAGGAACAGAAAAACAAAACGCAAGAGATGAACATCAGAGCTATTTGCCAAGGAAAAGAACCAAAAAGAGGGCGTCCCAGAAACAAGAAACGTCGGAGACAGAGAGGCGATCAAGCACAGCATGTCAACCTCAAAGGAACAACGGGACAGCTTGCCGACAAGCAGTGATCTGGCATGACAAGTCCGGACACATCACCACCGCAAGCATGCTCGAGGCCCTCTCTCGAAACGAGGCAATAGGCATGCCTGGAAGCGCCGAGTTGCACGGACCAGCTCCCGTCAATGGTTGGGGTGGCTTGAATGATCTGTCAACGCACGACAGGTACTCGGCACGGGATGAAACTCGGCCTTAGTTGGTCGGGGGAGCACCATACTGAATGCTCTGGAACATCTGGAAGATGACTGTTGAGAAACCAAGGCAAAGACAAGAGAGCAATTATCAGCCATGGCCAACATTTGCAGTAAAACACTCGAGCAGGCGAGGCAGAACGTCTCGCAGATTCACCGGGAAGATCCCAGACAACTAACTTGGGCAGGCAAACAACAACAACAACAGCCAAGCCAAGAGACGTACCCGAGCCGCACACGACAAAGATGAAGAAGCCAAGAACGATGGGGCCGACAGGATACTCCTCCGATTCCTCGTTGCGCTATTAAAGAGTACAACAGAAACGGGTCAGCGTACAAGAGGTAAAACGGGCGGGAACAGCCTGAGCCGGCTCAGGCTGACCAGTGAGGATGCCGGGCAAACATACCAGAGACTTGGGCACGTTACCACGCTTGTGAATGTTCTGGGCGTGCTTCTTGCTAGCTGCCCGCATTTGTGGCGTCTTGACCTTGCTGCCAGCCATGTCTGTTGGTGTGGAAGAGGATCTGCACACCCCCGTTCGCACAAACCAATGAGCGAATGTCAGCGCGGGCATACATGCTCGGGATCATCTGGCGGGGGCTGCACATTCTCCACTGCCACATTTCAAAACGTTTACACATGCCCCAAGCCAGTCGATCACCCATCCCGGGCAGCAACGATCTTTGCACTTGACTGCAACCCGACTGCCATTCCCACCCCCACACGTACCACGAAAGAACGAGAACCGAGCCGAGAGAGTGAAATGATCACTGTGAGAGGAGGAATGCGGGACCAGGGCAACCTCCAAACAGGCAGTGGGCGGTGCGATTGGGAGTGTGTGATTAAAGTTACACTTTTGTTCGTTGATCGACGTGTCAACGTCGCCAACTCTTGCTAACAAGCAATTTATTTTGCTTGTAAACAATTTTAACTTTCCTATGAAGGAACCAAGACTTTTCCGCATGCAATGATTCAAAAACATTGGTTGAAAATTCAATTTTCGATCAAGCTTCATAGCCCATGCTGGCCTTGCATAGCCCTTATAGCCGTATTGTCAAGTTGAAAAAAGTCCCTTCCCGTCGACGACCACGCCATGAAAGTGACTGCATAACAAACTGCCTGACGAAGTTTTTCCTTACTTTGGCATGCTGTTGAGCATTGCAGCAACGCACAACGGCTTGCAGAAGCTTGTTGTTGTTGTTGTTGTTGTGCATTTCCATAGCCATTTTCTTTTTGTTCCGCGGAACACATTAGACTCCACAATGGTTCGTGGCATCAATATGTGATGCGCCCTAGCGGGCGCTGCCGTTCTCGCGTTCTCGTTGCCATTGGCGTTTGTAGAGGAGATTTGGTGCTCACCGCCACATTTTGATATGACGTAGGCTCGTACCAAGCAAACGGCTCGCAAGTCGACCGGTGGCAAGGCGCCCCGCAAGCAGCTGGCCACCAAGGCCGCTCGCAAGTCCGCCCCCACTTCGGTAAGCTCACCCATCCATCATCTTTCCCCCATGTTGTGTTTCATGGCGTGTCTGTTTTGAAAGGAGCAGTGATACTTGACTAGAGTCACTGAATAAGAATGAGTGATCAATTTTTTTCTGAGCTCCCTTGGACGTTTTAGCTGTGTGTGTTTGTGTGTTTTTTTTATGTTCTTGGTGCCGTTCAGCACACGTCAGGATACCACGGGTCGAGGCTTCACTCATGCCTTTGAACTTCTCTTTGCTTTGCTGCAATAGGGTGGCGTCAAGAAGCCCCATCGCTTCCGCCCCGGTACCGTCGCTCTTCGTGAGATTCGTCGCTACCAGAAGTCGACCGAGCTCCTGATCCGCAAGCTGCCCTTCCAACGTCTGGTTCGCGAGATTGCTCAGGACTTCAAGACGGACCTCCGCTTCCAGTCAGCGGCCGTTGGTGCTCTGCAGGAGGCCGCTGAGGCCTACCTTGTTGGCCTCTTTGAGGACACCAACCTCTGCGCCATCCACGCCAAGCGTGTCACCATCATGCCCAAGGACATCCAGCTGGCCCGCCGCATCCGTGGCGAGCGCGCTTAAGCGCCTTGTGACTACATCTATCCCTCTTGGGAACATTCTTCTTTACCAACTCCCGGTGTTCTTAAACACCACGATTTCTACAATCATCTCTATACCCAACCCGCGAAGCAGGCCTGCGTGCCCTGTGATAACAAAAGTCTTGTACCCAGTAGTCGAAACACATTGGTATCAAAACTATTCTTGATCTTTTTGGACTGACAAGTGAAGACAACATTTGTTTGAATGACTCATCAATTTGCAAAAAAAAAAAAAAAAAAGGAAGAAAACACAAGCGAGTCGCGCCAGCTGCAACGTCAACAAATGAACACAAGTAGAGAGGGGAGCGCATGCCCGGCATGCAGCGCACAAGGCAACATCATCTTTGACAGCAACAAGGGAAAATTACAAACTTTGAAGTACGCGACAGCAGCGAAAGAAGGAACAGAGGGGATCAAACATCAAGGCACAACACGAGTCAGGGGAGCTGGAAAAGCAAAGACAATTATACCAAGAGGACGGCGTTGATGCAGCCGTCGTTCTCCGGGTTGTTGGTCACCTGGGCATACTTGCCCCACACAACCTTGCCGCCCGTGGTCACGAGACCCAGCTCGCTGACGTTGACCTCGATGATGGTACCCTTGGTGATGACACCCAGCTGCGTGAACATGGGGCTGTTGGGATTCTTCTTCACACCGATAATCGGCAAGCAGAAGGTGGCCTTGAGCTGCAGAGTCGTCCCAGCGATTCGGGTTGGTGAGCCAGTGATAAATCAGGAAATTGACACGAAATGACCAAACGAGCTGCTCTGCTTCTGCCAAGACGGCGGCAGTGTCGCGTCTGACTTGTGCATGACCAACCTCGGGATGTGTCACATGAGCCTTCTTGGTGCGCAGTGCCATGGGGCGAACAAAGCGCTCGTATTTCGGGGGCTTGCGGGTAAAGCCCTCGCCCACAAAAGTGTGTTTAGTGATCATGCGCTTCCAAGCTTTCTCTGTGGCACACGAACAAAGCGTGGATGTCCAAAATGGGTCGACGGTGAGACAATGAGAATAACAACCACGTCGAAGAATAACAAGAACGTGGCGACCAGGTAAAATAAAATGAAAATAGACTCACTCTGGCGTTTGCCGGTGCGCACGACCTTCATCACCTCGTCCTCGCCCATTGCGCGGACCTTGGGAAGAGGCACGCTCCATTTGCCCTGTGGTGACAAAAGCACAAGCAAAAAAACAACACCATGAGCTCGCCGAGACGAGATTAGAAACAAAGGACCTGAGCGCAAGCTACAGACGCCATCTGCTATCAATTGAATACTAGCCAACAAGCGTACGTACCGCCTTTTCCTTACGCTTCTGCTTGATCATATTACTCAAAGCCTTGGCACGCGCCTCGCCCTCACTAAGCGAGAGGGAAATCGAGCACACGCAAAAGTCAGCAACACGGGATTACCAGAAAATGTTCACCCCTCTCCCTTGGAAATGTGAGACGAGAAGCCGAAATCATTGCAGGTGCATCGTACCGATCCATCAGGTATGCTGGAATGGCGCCATCTGGCACGTCGGGGGTCTTGCGCAGCTTGCTCTTCTTCTCCTCGTGCATGGCAATCCTATAGCATCACCTCGACGTAAGCAGCTGTGGGGAACAGTCCACCGCCTTACCACAGGGATGGCGATGTGGGGGAGATAGAGCACAAAACTGGACGCGACATGCACCGAACAGCAAGAAAGCGGCCTGACATACGTCTTCTTCATCTGGATCTTCTCGGCATGACGCTTCTTATTCAATAGCTTGGCCCTGGATAGCAAACGCATGGATGAGCGCACACCGAGCAAGCGCGTTGGCCCAGCAGCCGGTGGACCTGTGTCCAGGCTCGAGGCGCAAAGACTGTAGCAAAACTCACTTGAGACCGCGCAGCTTTTGAGCTTGCTCCGAGGCGCGGTGCGCCGAGCGCGCTTCCTTTTTACGCCTAAAATCAGTCAGCCCGGTCACTTGTATCAGTCACAACCGCCCCAATCCACAGTGCATCGTAACGACGCTGCCAGAAACAAACGGTGCCGGCAGAGTGGAACAGAAACTCGTACAAGCGCTCTTCATGATCCATACGTCGACCATGCAGCTTGCGATGCCGCTCCATATACTCATTCTGAGGCTAAAGGGGTTGGAATCACAAAATCCAACAAGCACCCAGGGGCCCAAAGCAACACCACCGATAGGATTAAGCGACGCCCAACCGCAGTGCAGCGCAACTCTGAGACAAACCAACGCTGATGTCTCCGTGACAAGGCGGCGGCCGACTTTGCTGGACATACCATGACGGCGGTGGTTGTGTGACGCGGTAGCGTGCAATAAAATCCTCCTTCAAATCCAACCGAGTGCTCAAACAGGCACCAAAATCAACCCAATCAAACCGCAGGCCCTCTCCTGAGCTCGCGCTTGGGGCAAGATCACCCTGCTTGCTGCTGCACCGACTCGTCTCGTCTCCTGGCTGCCACCAACGTGCTTGACGCCAAATGGATATCAACCCTCTCTCGCTCTCTCTCTCTCTCTTACACACACACGCGGGAGATTTGAACAGAAACCACACGTGTGAGGAAGTGTACCACGCTTCACAGTTGTCGCCCTGTGATCCTTTGTCAGACTGATGTCAGATAATCGGTGTCATTTGGGAAAAAGAAAAAAAAATTTAAATTTTTCGGCGGAAATTTCGCCTCTTTCTTCTTGATCATGGACTGGTCCGAGTATCAGGCGCGGGTGGCGCTGCACGATCAGCATCTGGAGAGCTTGTACGTGACGCGTCAAGCCTTGTACCAGTCGTGCCTTGGCTGGAGGATAATGATACTTCTTTTTGCTTTCGGGGTCTACGCACCGCACACACAGGTTGGCCACGGCTCGGGCCTATGCAGATACATACCAGGAGCTGCAAGCCCGGCACTGTCTGCGTGCCACGGCCCCTTCTAGCTTGCTGCGCCGACGCGCGGCTGATTTGCAACGCCAAGCCGAGGTATGACAAGACTTGCGTGTGTCGTATTGAGGACACCCTGTATCCTTTCACGCGCATCCTTCCTTCGCAGACAAGCTGCAAGCGCAACATCGGCCTTAAAGCTCGGTCGGCCCAGCTGGCTCGACAAGCGAGAGCGCGCCCCGCCCCAGTACCAACTCAACGTAAAGAAGAGCAAGCATCATCACCAGAGCCTCTGCCCCAGACTGTGCCGACTTGTTTCCCTGCCCGACAGACCCGCAATGAGCAATGTGGCCACGGCCGGTCCGAGCCCCGACACGGTGCACCACGTGCCACTCACCGTGACACCCACCCCTCTTCCCACCAACTCCCCACGGCGCCAGATGGCCCTCACATGACCTCACACCCAACATTGTCTGACACTCGGCGATACCCGCCGCTCTCGCATGCCGCACCTGATGAGCGTCGCGATGACGAAAGCGACGCGGTTTCGCAAGATGCAAGCCTGACTGATCAGGATCTAGATGGCGCTCCCGACACCACTCCCACTAGCAATCGCGCGAGTCTTCCACGGCTCGAGTCCAGCAGTTCTCCAGCCGCCGAGCTAGACCCTGTTGCGTCAGACCAACAACACACTGCTGCGTCTGAAGCCACGTCACAGGTGCCAGCACACAACGCAGCCGCCATCTCGACTCTGAATGGTGTTGCAGACCTTGTGCCCTCCTCGCCCACTTCTGAGCTTCCACCTTCAGACATCCTTTTGGGTGGCAGTGACAAAGCCGACACCGGATCAGTAGGCAATGAAGAGCGCGATCAGGCCCAACATGCGTCCCCGCGCCGCGCCACCTTTGCCGATGTCCTCCATCCCAGTGATGACGAGGATGCAGATTTCAGCCTGAGTGCCCTCAGTCTTTCCGGCAACCAGCTCACACTGCACCCCAGCATAGCTGATAGCGATTTCGATTTTTGATGCTTCACTCCCACCCTCCGGCCCTCGACGCATCGTACGGCGCCACGCGCCATGTCAATCGATACAAACTCCCAAACATCTGCCAACCCTCTCTGTCAATAACGTGAACGGTCATTCGGGGCTCTAGCTCGGTGGCGCGCAAATTGCTCTCGTGCTGGCTGTGATGCTCCTTCCTGCCAAGCGTGGGGTGGTCCACCTGAGGCCTGATATCCATCGTAGCTGCTGTAGCCATCGTATCCACCGCGGCCTTCGTGTGCACGGTTACGCGTGGCTGTCGGTGCGTTATATCCACGGTGCTCCTGTGATTCGGGCCGAGACGGTCGCGCCTCGTAACCTGAACTGGTTGGTCCATGGCGTCCTGCTGGGTGCCTCCCTGCAGCATCTCGCGGGTGTCCCCCTGGAGTATACCCGCTATGGGCCTGGTAGCTGCCATTCCGACGCTCACTCGCTTCATCGGGCTGGTAACGGCCCGTTGGTGTGTCATGGCGAGCCCTGGGGTAGTATGACTCCTCGGGACGCGCCTCAGGTTGCCTCGTGCCGTGGGTCTCGCGTGCTTGCCGAGCACCTGGCGCATAGCGCGCCGTCTCACCGGAAGAACCTTGCCGCATAGGACTCCGCTGGCCTTGGGTTACGGCCCTCATGCCTGGTTGATACACGCCCGGTGCTGCTAAAAAGATATGCCCGCGTCACAGAAAGAAAGAAAATTGAGTTCAGAAGCAAAATTGAGAGGAGAACACCATTTCACCTCGTTTCGCGGACTGCGATACTGATAAGAAGCGCAATGGAATGGCAATCTGCAGTGCTGAGACGTACATGGAGCGGGCGAGGGCAAACGGTCTCGCTGCGAAGCATAGGGGGAAGGGTGGCGTGCTGCTGACGGCCTCTGGGGCTGCTGCTCGGCGCGAGAGTCGAGCCCAACATGGGAGCGACGATCAGCATCACGCTCCTCACGTGAATATGCGCCGCGTTGTCCAGGCTCATATCGAGCGGCCCCTACATAGTCACGGCTGGGTGGTTTTCGACTACCGCCGGGCACGTAGGCATTTGACACGGGCTTGCGCGAGTAGTCCGGGACAGGTTCCCGTGTGTAGCCCGGAGGTGGCGGCCGAAGCTCATGCGTAGGGGGGGCGCCCCGAACCTCGCGCGAAGGTGTTGACTCGGGTGCACGCCGCATGCCTGGCACATAGCCACCAGACAAGGCAGCTGGCGGAGGTGAGTTGCGGTGGTATGCGGCTGCGCGCACATCTGGGCGATCAACGGCGTTGTGATAATGCCCAGGCTGGTATGTTGTGTCGAATCCATCTCGATGAGCGGGTGAACGACGCCGTGCAGGGCTTCGGCGACGCGAATGGGGATGTACTGATCCTCGCATTCGTTCGTCTTCGGAAAAAGGTGGCGGGCCCCGGCCCCGCCCTGTGCCTTTGGCCTGAGCTCGCTGCACCACGAGCCGTTGACCCTGAACATCCTGGAAAGCAAATACCAGACGAGGGGACGAAAGGGAGGTGATCAAGGGTCATTCATCACCCACCAAAGAAGCCACTCTGTCACATCGCTCGTTGTATGCCAGTCAAGCACAAGCCTCAGCGGGCATTGACGTACCGCGTCGTGCATTGCTGTCACGGCACGATCGGCGCTGTGCAGGTCGCGAAACTTGACAAAGCCAAAACCCCGTGACGTGCCTGTGCTCTTGTTCAGGGCCACCATGGCTGTATGCACCAAACACATGAGACCATCACCACGAGATTCACCCGAGCCCAGCCAAATTATGCGTGTGCGCACAGGCCAGTGGGTGAGGTGAAGGGTAGCGTGCAGAGACGAGACGGAGGCATGACATCACACTGAGGGTTTGGCCGTACCGTCTTCAATCACGCCAAAAGGAGCAAAGAGCTCGTGAAGATCGCGGTCTTGCATTTGCAAAGGCAGTTGCCCCACAAACAATTTGCTGCCATCCTCAGGGCTTGAGAAGATGGTGCGCTCGCCCATCTTCACGGAAGCTGTGTGCTGCCCGCTGCCCGCTGCCTGTTGCCCGTCGCTGCCTGTCTCCGATTCTCACGCCACGAGGAACGTCGACCAGAGGGGAAGCACCGAAGAGCGTGTCGCTCAGAGAATATAATTGTCATCAAAAAAACATGACGCTTTACCAAGCGACTCGAGAGACAGCAGCCCTTTACCTCTCGCCTTCAGAGAGAGAGAGGGAGAGAGCACAGAGCTTCTATTTGTCATCGGTGCTGCTTTTAACGGTTGCATTTTTATGGCAGATGAACCATGTCTGGGGGCTGGCGCCGCGGCGGTTCTGCCAGCACGCAACAGACCTTTACTGTGCAGATCATTTCTTCGGATGAGGAGGAAGAGGAGGTAGCAAAAGCGCTTCCAGCAGGTCCTACAGCACGAGACCAAGCGCCTCAGGTCGAAAAGCCCAGCCAGCCACCGCCAGCTATCGACTCTGCTCCCGCAGCCCAGCCAGCTGCCTCGCCCATCGATGCAGACGCTGTGCTCGTGTGGCTGCCGTGCACCATCTGCGGCAGCACCATCTTCGCGTCCAAGGATGTCAAGGCACACCCCGTGCTTGAATGCGCTGTCTGTCCGCGGTGCGAGTTTGGGTACTCTCAACACATGCTGGATGGCCAGTTGAACGTTCCCCTGGACGCCCAAGGCTCGCATGAACGGTGTACTTGGTGCCTCCAGCCTTATGAAGGCACGACGGATAAGGACATTGAATTGCTCATGTGCGATGTGTGCCCTCGGGTTTTTTGCACCGAGTGCTTGCAAGCCAATCTTGGACCAGCTGCATTGGAAGGCATGTACGCCGCTGATCCATGGCGGTGCCTGTGCTGCGAACCAAGTGTGTTGACCAGCCTGCGCAGCGAACGTGATCGCTTTATTGCCGCCGCCATCGACAACGAGGACCATATCGCCGACAACAGCCTGGAGCTGAAATCCAATGATGCCTGGACCAAAGAGGACTTTGAGCGCTACATGTCGGACCCCGCTATCGACTTTTGGGTGCAGCAATATGCCCGTGTGCTAGAACTCCTTGCCTGTGATGAACCCGACGAGCTGGCCTCGCCCTGCATGCAAATTGTGCCACCCGTGCTGGATAACGATGCACCTCAACCCCTCAGTACCAAAATTTATACCCAGGCAGCTCTCCTCGAGGAACGTTTGGACCATCGTGTCGTGCTGCTCATGCAGCGGCAAATCTTCGGGCATGCTGTAAGCGACGAAGAAGATGATGATGACCTCGCCTTCACCTCCAACCCCCTCGACCAGCCAGAACAAGCTCACCTGCGTCTCAAGGAAACCCGAGCTGACCGACTGGCTCAACGTCAAGCAGACAAAGCACTGGCGAAACTGCGCCCCGTTCGTAAAGGCCGCGGGGGAGAAATCGAAGGGTCGGGCGCTTCCGGCTACGTGCCAGCCTGCGCCAGCGTGTATGAGATAGACTCGTTGGATCAAGCTGCAGCCCGCGATGTCATTGAAGATCTAGAGGACGACCCAGCCGCCAAAGTGCTTCCCGAGCAACAAGCTTGTATGGAAAATGAAAACCGCATCCTCCTGGAAGCCGGCCTGCAAGAGCGAATCAAGCTGCGCACTCTGCAGCGTGACCATGAACTCACCCAACGGCATCGAGGCACAAATAGAATTAGTCGCCACGTCCCCAAGCGACGCCGTGCCCCCAATGACACACTGCGCACTCCGACCCTGTCGGACAGCTCCGAGAGCCTGGACAGCGACGTAGCGTACAGCTCTGCCGCCGAGAAGAGCACCGATGACAGCGAACAGCATTATGATAATCAAGACAATGGACCCGATGTTGTCCAGAACGACCTGGACGACAATGACATCTCCCCCAACGACCACTCTCCAGGCAACAGTTGGCAGAATAAAACAACGCACGCTTGGGGTCGTACAGCCCACAGCAGCTCCATGTTTGAACCCAGTCGCACTCTTTCTGAACTCAATGCCCGCCGACACAGCCGTGAGGGCCTTCATGGGGAGGCCTTCGCCTTTATGAGCGATATTTCAGATCTAACCCTTGATGAAATGCTTCAGGGCTCTGCTTCACCTCCGCAAAAGCGACATCGTCGCCGTCGCCACCCAGCTCAACGAAACCGCAATGTGCCCCTCAGTCAATCTGCCATGTTGAAACTAGTCAAAGCACGCGCGGCCAACCGCGAGGAAAACCAACGGAAGGATGAAGATGACCTATCTTTGGGTTTTGTCGTGAACCTCACGCGGGGTCACCAAGAACCCATCTTGCGATTGGCACCGGAAGTCTCACAACAGTTGAAAAGCCATCAGCTACAAGGCATTCGGTTCATGTGGGACAACGTCGTCGACAGCACAAAAGAGCTCATGAAAGACATGCCCCGAAGCTTCAGTCACCATGCCTGCATACTCGCTCATGACATGGGCTTGGGCAAGACCATGCAGGTAGCATTGTCGTCTCCTTCTGATCCTTGTGTTGCATGCCGCAAACTGCAGATGAATTGGAAAGGCCAGTTTTGCTTTACGCTTTCTGCGTGTAGAAAAGTCTCACTGGAGTTGCCTTGCACAGATTGTCGTGTTGTGGAGCGCCCTCCTTCGCTCGCATAAAAAGGAGCAGTACCAGCGCCTTCTTGTCATTTCTCCCATTAGCACACTACATTCATGGAAGAGTGAGTGTGAAAGGTGGTGGCCCACAGGTCAGGAGCTTCCAAAAATTTATCTCCTCGACGACACCAACGGTAGGTGCTGGCACATAAGCTGGGCGGCCTAGCGCTGCTGCTCGGTCCGTGGACCCGATTGCCCTTTTTGACCTGCTATCTTTGCCCTTGCTCACACATCGGTGAGACGTCCCCTTAGAACGGGCTCGTCGCATTCACCAGTGGTACAAGGAGGGGGGCATGCTCGTGCTAGGGGTGGCAATGCTGTATAGCCTGCTGGGAACGCGCCAGGATAAGCATGTGGGACACAAACTTCGCAAGTACTTGCGCAAGCACACGCAGTTGCTGGTGGTGGATGAGGCTCACCTTTTAGGACGCAAGCGCTACTATGACTGCATCAATTCCTTTGTAACTCGATGCCGAATTCTTCTGACTGGAACTCCTTTGCAGAATCACCTGTCCGAGTGGGTTTTGTCAAAATTGCGTGTCTCGTGCTGCTGCTTCCGTCGGGTTTTTGGGCTGCACGTCACGCATTTTTATCGCGTTGCCCGTGTTGTCGCTCTCCCTAACCCCACGACCCCCGTCGCTGCTCAACCTGGTGACTCGGCAGGTTCTTTTCTGTCGTAGATCTGGTCCATCCTGGCATTCTGGGCACTGCACCGGAATTTGAAAGATTTTTCGTACGCCCCATCGAAGCTGGCCAGGCACCCGATGCGGACTGGTCCACTCGGCGCAAGTGCAAGTATCGCTTGGCCACGCTGCAGAGCATCACCGCGGGCTTTCTACAGCGGCGCTCTCGGCAGGATGCAGATGCCATCCATGCGTCGCGACAAGAACACGTCATCTTTGTCAAGCTCTCCCCAGCCCAGCTCGTCCTATACTTCCGTTGTCTGGTAGCACATAAGCAGCCCCGACTACAAGCGCCCAGCAGCTTCTGGAGTCTAATTCGCCCCTTGCAAACTATCATTACCTGGCCCCCCTCGCTCGTGTCATCAAGTAGCGTCGCTGCACTGGAAACAAGTAAAGGCCCCACCCGGCGCTTGGGCAGATCCAATGACAACAGCGCCCCAGCAGAGGCTGCTGCAGAGGCCGAGAACAGCGATGTGGGAGATGATGACGTCGAGCCCTTCTTTGATCCAGCTATGGCACAGGCCGCGGCTCAGTCTGCCAAGATTGACATTACCCTGAGTCTAATCCGTGAAGCATTGAGCACGAATGACAAACTTGTTTTCTTCTCCCAATCTTTGTTTGTGCTCAGTGTGATTCAGCAGCGCCTGGAGACTGAGCTTTTCGCATTGCGTGATGGTCTGCGTCCCATGCGCAAGGACCAGGACTTTTTCCGCTTGGAGGGCGAGACGAGCAGTGCCCGCCGGAAGGACATGTGTGATCAGTTCAACCAACCGGACGAGCCCTGCCGCTTGTTTTTAGTGTCCATTCGTGTAGGTTACCTGTACAGCGGCGCTTTTGCACTGGCTCCTGAAGCGGGCTGATCATTCAGCATTACCCACGCCTTGACACAATGAGCAATGTAACAAGGGGTTGTTATGCGTGCATGTTGCTGTGATAGGCTGGGGCCACGGGCTTGAACATGTATGGAGGCAACCGCGTCATTCTCTTTGACGTGTCTTGGAATCCAGCTACGGTAAGGTGGTGTGCAGGCGCTGCCGGTGGGTGGCCTTTTCAACACCATCGCACACGGCATCGGAGCTCACGACACCCCCGCTACCGCTGTATCGCAGGACAATCAAGCCATCTCGCGTTGTCATCGCTATGGTCAGCAGAAGACGGTTTACGTTTATCGTTTGGTGGCAGCTGGGACGATCGAAGAGCACATTCTCAGTCGCCAGATCAACAAAATGACCATCTTCCAAAATGTTATTGACAAAAGCGCGTCTAAAAACAATTTGTCTGGTGGTATGATGCGACGACTTCTTGCCTTGCCACCAGCCCATTTTGTGGCTCACTTAAATAACGACGCGGCGGTGGACATGATGAAGCGCGATGCATCCAACGACTGGCTACGCGCTGCCATGGACGAACTGCTAGACAAGGCGCTAGCTCGTAACATGAGTGAGTCGCAGGAAGACTCACAAGCGCAGCAATTGGAGAATGCGGCCACGGACGATGCCAGCAGCGCTTCGGACAGCGACGCAGAGGCACATGTTGAATCGCTTCATAAAGGGCCGGCATCAGACCTGTGACGGTGTGGCTTGTGATTTTTGTAGCAGCAGGACGCTGTCTTGGAGCGGGTGCAACGTGAAAACAAACACTGGATTGCGCGCGTTATGTGGCTGGATGATGCCATCGATCTGGATACGGATGAGCTGTTGGACGACAACAACACCGAGCTGGCTATTGCCGAGTACACGCGGGAGGTATCCGCCGAGAATGAGATTCCAGCAGAGGGCCAGCAAAGCGTTTTGAATACTCCGAGCGACATGCGCATTCGCATCCCCGTCCAGACTGCGCACTTGCTGCGCTCCTTGATCAGCCGAGACGACTACCAGATAAGCACGGACAAGGCAGGCACGAGCTCAAGCCAGGCACCGCAGGCCACTCTCCCCACTTCCACCATGGTTACTGAGCAACCCTCCCAAGCTGCTGCGTCAAACCCTACCGGTGGCCCGGTGCAGGCAGAGGGTACAGAGGTGGGACCAGCTCTGTCCGAGGTGATGGCAATGGCTCAGGGCCAGGACACTCAGCAAGAACCGAAGCGAGCCAAATGTGAGTTTGTTTTGATTGTCATGGCAGGCCAAAGCAAAGTCGTGCAATCAACACGTTGTTGCTCTGGCGAGGGCGTCTCATTGGACGATATGATTCGCATAGTGGACCAAGACCTCAGTCCTGACAATCAGGTTGCGAGCAAGAAAACGGCTGAGGCCGCAAGCACCACACTCGCCAGCAACCCTCCTGTGTGTAACGCGGTGACAAGTGCTGCCGGCGACAACCAGCCTTTACTGCTGCCCGTAACGCCTGCAGCAGTCGGCACTACAGACACGACGCTCAAGAGTGTAGAACTAGGTACTGACCCGAAGAGTGAGGCAAGCGGTAGGTGACCACGGCATTTTTGTTGCCTGTGCAAACAGCTCTTCTGTTGCTTTCTTTCTCATGCGTTGGCTGGTCTTGGTGTCCGAACCAACTCTGTAGCCCCTGAGGTAATTGTTCTCGATGATGAAACCGAGCCGGTTGTGTAAGAGGTTTGTCGATTGTGGCCCAGGGCGCTTCCCCTGGGGCAGCAATTGGAATAGTTTAGGTAGGAGAGGTGTGTGAACAGTCTTATCTGCAAGCTTTGAGAGGAGGAATTGAACATCGATAGTCTTATAAATTTAGTCAACAGAGTCTTATAAATAGGTCACGCAACAGGCAGCAAGCGGGCAAATCTCACAGCAGGGCTGAGAGCAGCCAACTTGTGCCAGGTAGCAAGAAGGATGTGGGGCTCAACAGGCTACTACTTAAAACTGGAGGCTCGGCCTCGAGTTGAAATGTTGTGTATCGCCTGAAGTCACAGTCGCTGACGAGCTTGAACTCGGCTGCGGACTAGTGCGCGTCCTCTTTCTCTTTTCGCTTCATTCTCTCGTTCCATACACGAGCGAGCACCTTTGGGCCGTGGACAGGAGAGCTGTGAAGATGTTTCCCATTCCTCAAGCCGAAACGGCTGTGGCAACGACGGGGAGAGTCGGGTCGCGCTGGGTGGCACCATAGCCCTTGGCATCCTTGCTCGGCGCCCAGAAAGCTGCCAAGAAATTGGTCAAGGATTTGATCCAAGCCATCATGCAACCCTCCTCTGGGACGGACATGACGTCTTTGGTGGATGGATTGCCATCCTCGGGCATCTCCAGCGCAATCTCCGTCCCTGTGAGCCAGAGAGAGAGCGAGGGGTCAAAGTGGATGTGAGTTAAGTGCGGTGCTAAGAGCGCCGCTTCGGACCGGATATAAGGGAAGGGGAACATGGGCTTCTCAACCTCGACATACATGTGGGTTCAAGGCGACCATCAGGTGCCACGACCTGGGCGACCAGGTGGCGGAAGCAGCGGACGACATTGGTGGGCTGGGTGGCCGAGACTTCCATGTAATCGTAACCGAGCTCGATGCTTTTGGCGGCGGCCTCCTGATGGGAGACTTGGCGTTGATCATCCAGGTCGCTTTTATTGCCCAGGACGAGCACGCGAGTCGGGGCCAGGCCAACCGCGTGCTTGGCAATGAGCTCGGCGTACTGCGTCACCTCATCGAAGCTGGCACGATCTGTCAGGGGATGTGTGCGTTGGTTGAGCAGCGACGGGTTCGTGAGACACACTTGCCGACGGGGCTTGAGGGCCGGATATGGACGTGTCGCAAGGAATGGCACCTCGACATGTAAAGCGAGGGCGTACCAGTAAGATCAAAGGTAAGGAGCACAGCTTCGGCTGACTTGAGGTAGGTTGGGACGAGCGCCGAAAAGCGCTCATGTCCGGCCGTATCCCAGAGCTGGAGGCGCACCTGTAAATAGCCCCGCGGAAAAGTCGGCAAGAGGTGAGCAACGGCAAGAAAGGGCGAGACCCAGAGTGTGCCAGCATAGTTTGGTCAGGAGGAAGACAAGCACACGTACGGGGCCATCGGGCAGGAAGACGGTCTTGCTGTGAAACTCGACACCGACGGTGCCAGCATACTCTCGAGACATGTAGCCGTACAGAAAGGCTTGAACAAGAGAGGACTTGCCAGCACGGGTCGTGCCGACGCAAACAACTTTGCAACGACGATCCGCCATCTTGGCTACGGTCTGCACCAGAACCAAAGAAAAATGGCGTCGCAGCCACGAGAGTCAGGCGTGGGGTAAAGGAAGGCTTTGCACCACTGGATAAGGAGAGCGCAGCGAGTGTGTGGGAACGAGGCGAGGCCGCAAAGGGATGCTACGTGCTATGAGGGGCAGCGTCGACCCAATAATTACAAATGCTGCGATGGCAACGCAAGCTCCCTGCTCACAATCAACCCGATGAGGCAGTTGTGGCTCACGCGCAAACTCACACACACAGAGGCACACACGCACACACGCACACACGCACACACACAACGTCAAGATCAAGGGGGAGGAGGGGGGAGAAAAGAGGAGGGAGGAGAAAATGGACTGTGGAGCCCATGCAGCGCAACAACGTGGTGCGTCGTCATGCGTGTGCCTAGCCAACCAGGCAGACAGCCAGGCAACCGCGCGCAGGAGCCCACGAGCCACGCAGCCCAGCACGGTTGTCGAGCACAAGTGCAGATTCATCCAGTCATGCAGCCAACGGTTCACACAGACGGGTTGCCAAGACCCAACCCAGAGACACCCCTCTATGACCATCCATCTTGGTTCTGGCAGAAGTCAAAGAAGGGGCGGGGCTGCAGTGGCGCTGCCATTCCGGTGTTAGGACACACACACACATCAAGCCAAACACACACTGTCACTCCCAACAATGCTGACAATACAAGACCCGTCACACATATGTACATACCAGTCACGTTTATCCCCTTGTATACATCACACCTGCATGATATTACCTTGCACATGTAGCTGGTGATGTGTTGGCGGTATATTTCATCATCACCCTCTCCGTGCTCTCTCTCTCTCTCTCTCTCTCTCTCTGTCGATGACGTATTGAAGCGGCACCCAGCAGCTTGGCAACCTACGATGAGTAACGGTCATCAAGGATTCGGTCGCGTATATACATGCATGTACATGAATCTGGACCAGATTCTTAATTCGCATTCCACGACGGTCAACGACTTGCTTCTCAAGCTCGTTTCGATGGCTTTGAACTTGGCTCTTGCAGGGCGTGATCCTCAGCCTGATCCATCACACCTGGTGCTCGTTGGTGCGGCATCTTTTTGCCTTGAAACGCCTGCAACTTGCTTGCTTCCCAAACGTTGCTTATGCACCACTGGATGTGAGCGACACGGCTTGAACACTCGCAACATGTCTAGCAAAGATGAATCAGAACCACCCAGCTTTATCTGGGGTGTCGTGGCTACGATGACTACCACATGCCCAACCAAGATCATTCATCGCTGCAAGCCTCACACACACACACACATACACCAGGATACTCAAGGTCCCATCACGCGCGTCGGCTCATTGCCCGTGGCCCCCATCGAGACCAGCAACGAGTTGTCAACCCAGCCCGTCACCACCACCACGGCTCATCACCATTCCCCTCATCGCCAGATGCACGACACGTACTATGGCAATGACGCTTCCATAAGGTGCCGCATCGGTAACGTCTTCCAGTTCCGGCTCTTCAGACCCAGCGGTCTTTGTCAGATTATTCAAAGTGTAGCGTTTATCACTCTTCCGCATGGACTTACTTTTTTTTTTTTTTTTTCCTCTTTTTTTTGCTGAATGATCGGCGGGATGCGGCCAAACGAGCACAAGCAGCAGCGAGCCAAGCAGTATCAAAAGACGCATGCGGATGCGGCAGCTACCCATCAGGCCCGTAAAAAGGATCGTCACTCGGGTGGAAAAGATGTCCCACCCACTGTTTCTGCGACCAACCTCGAACCAGGGGTTGGGACCAAGCGTCGGCCGGCGCCACAGAACAAGCCTCGCGACTTGCCGCCGGCTCCCGCCTTTGGCGATCACGGAGTGGAGACTGGTGGAACATTGACCGTCGCACAGCTCCGTGAGCGTGGCGAGCGCCAAGCCCTTGCTGACCGCTACAACGCGTTTCATCTTCGGTATCACGACATTGATCCTGCCCTCGATGTCCTGCGCGACCTACGTCTCGATGCAGCTACCCGCCTTGGCCTCAACGCCAACCTACTCGCCCATCCAGACTGGACCTCTGTTCTCCGCGAATTCACATTTACTCTGGATGAGACGCAAATGTTGCTGACCAGCGCCACCACCCAGGCCCAGCACCTGTCCGGGGCCTCCACTTACGACCCTCAGCCCATTCAGATGTCTGCACCCCCGGTAACCAAGCCAGCCCCAGAAGCGGCACGCGTCGAGGCTGCCAGCCCTGTTTCAAGCCAACAAAGCCCCAACAGCGCCTCGCAAGCGCAACGCGCGCAGGTCGAGCCCGCCTCGGACCTGGCCGACGTGGATGACCAGCTCAACGCCCTCCTGGCACCAGCTACCAGTGATGCACCCTCCATTTTGACTTTGAGTGCGCCTGATCCCCGCCATACACCAGCTTCAGGCAGAACAAATGTCCACCAAACCTCCAACCCCCATCACCACAGCGACGACGACCAGCTGCTTGATGAGCTCTTGGGAACTGAATCCACCCAGCAAAGCACCTCACGACAAAGTGGTGTTTCCAATTCTAACCCCGCAACCAGCACGCCCCCAGCCGTGCGTCAGGCCCCGCCTGCGGTTGAAGAAGACGACCTTGCCTTTCTCGATTCCCTCATGTAGTATATCCTCAAAAACGAGCGAGCTGTTGCCCTGGCAGCAGTCGCGCCGGGCTCGATCCGGCGCGAATGAACCATTTTGTCAGATTTTCTATCATTGTGTCATAAATGCTACACTTTGGAATTAATGTTGAAAAAATCCTGGTCATGTGGAGCAGTGCTACCATCTGTTACTAACAGCCCGTTCCTCACGGCTGCCACTTGTCGCATTTGTGCATCTTGGCGCTTGGTCTCTTGTCCGGTATGTTTATGCTCCGCCATCGGCTGGGCGGACCTCGGTGATCTCTGGTCCCGGAGGGTCCAGCCCCACTTTCCCATAAAGGACCAAACCTAAATGCCCCCCGCTCAGCTGGTCGTTGATGCGAGATACACTCACGCCGAGTATGCGGTCAGGTCTTTTTTACCCGCTTGTCCCAGCAGTATGTCGCACTACCGAACTGACGACTCGGCGGCCTTTCTCCGCGAGCATGAGCGCCAAGCGCAGGAGGTTGGTACTCAAAACTAGCCATGCTGCCGCCAATTTCATGCCGGGCCTCGCTCAGCTCGCGACTCATGGCGCTCCGCCTGCTGTTTCTTGTGGCCTTGTCTATCCAGCTGCTGGTGGAGAATGCAGCGCTCAAGATGCTGAAGGACCGCGTTCGTGACTGTTATCGCAAGGAGGGCGTCAACCACTTTGAGGCCTGTGAGCCCTTTGTCAACGACTATCTCGATGCGATGCGAGTGATGCAGGGCAAGATGCTCCCCCGCTCGTAGACGGGCTTCCCCGACCGAGTCCACGCCATTCGGCAACGCTGCTCGGAGGCCTTCTGGCCAGCGAATCTTTGTGTTGCGCAGCAGACCCAAACCCACCCACTTGCCGTATGGCCAATGCTTATCCACACCCGAGGTGATGGCCTACCGCGAGCATGGGCTCAATGTGTCCATGCCCACGCTGTTGCCTGTTGCCTTTGCTGTTCGTGTCGTCCTCGAGTCCACAACCATGTTAGGCGGCCCGCTTCGGTCCTGTATTGTGGTGCTCCTCTTTTTTTTTTTTTTTTCTTGTTTTTTTTTGCCCATGGCATCTGCTTTGGCTTTGTTCACATGCAGGTGGCAACGGTGTAGGCTCACGGCCTCGTCCCGATAGTTGTTTAGTCGTGTTTCACATGCTTGTTCAGGCTTTCTTGGCCGGGCCTTTGTGATGTGCTCACTCAGTCCCTTTTTCTCGTTCCTACCTTTCTTTCTTCTCATCTTGAGATTTGGCGATCTGACAAGTTGAACCCCGTTCACACGCCGTGCGGGTGCAACCCGGGCTCCAGCTTTGCCATCCAAATCTCCCTGTTGCTTCCTTTGTTCAAGCGAATTGACCTGCCAATCATATGAACAGCCTTCGATCGTTTCAATACCCAAGAGCAGCAGAAATAAAATTAACAATGTCATGTAAATATTGAGGGTTTTTGGCGAATTTTTTTCCTAAATTTCTGGTATCGGATCCAGAAGCTTGCATATACATTGAGCCCCCCTACGTTAATCTAATGCGACAGCCCATCAAGTCGAAGTAAGAATGAGCAGTCCTGTGGTTTTGTCAGTCGTCGGGTGTGTGAACGCGAGGGCTGTTGCTTTCCCACTCCAATAACTTAAAACTTGAATCAGACCCAATGACAAACGCTTCCAGATATGAGAGACGATTCATCCAAAAGTCTACAAAACCAGTCAAGCTGGAGCTTTGAACTGCGACGTAAAGTTGAACGCGCAGTGTGTGTTGGAAGCTGATTCGTGTCGATTTGCTCTTGACTTTTGCGTGCTAAGCGACGCTAGAGCTAGCCACGATTGTGACTGAAGTTGCTTGTTTTGATGGAGGGGCGTTCGCATCATGTTCTAGCGTGGGTGGTCCAATGTGCCACATCCGTTGCCTTTCCTTTGCCATAAGATGGGCTTCGTCTTGGAACAACGACCGTCTTTATGCAGCCTGCTGTACAGGCAGTATAGCAGGTGGCGCGCGTGATCAGCCCGGGCCGACGACGGGCGCGCTGGAAACGAGCCAGGCAACGACAGAGCTGCCACAAACCTCTTGGTTGATGTGGTTATATCGTCGATGGTTGCGGGTATGCAAGTTCTCTTGTTCACACACGGCGGAGGGTAGCGGAAATGATATTCTGCTCTCGTTCGCAGAGCAGATAGGCATTGCTAGAACAAATCACTTTGACTTGCCGGGTCGAGCACCAGCCCGTGCAATCAAGTTAAGCGAGGCGGTATGCCACCGTGCGTGATTCCAACTGCCATCCAACATCAAGCAGCGTTAGCCAGAGACAGCAGTGGTAAAATGCATTTTTCCACCGCTAGAGACAAGCAACTCGGGCACAATGTCCCTAACATTGTCATGTCATAAGGATGTCGTGCTGAAGCGTGAAGCTAGACGGTCCAAAATGGCAGCACGCGGCTCCTATTTGGGGCCAGAGGCCGTAGCTCAAAACCAAACTCTGAAGTTGAGTTGCTCGCAAGAAACACAGGCATGTCAAGCCTTTCTCCCGTCTGAGAGGTTCCTCTTTTGCAACCGGAGGCGCGACTATTTCAGTTGTTGATGTTGTGGAATCAATTGGCAATTGGTTGAGAGAGAAGGCAAAAAGAAGAAGAAGCAGAGAGAAAGCAAAGTCGAGGAGGAAGCGAAAGAAAGATGGAGAGAGAAAAAAAAAAGAGGCAAACGTCAGGGAGCGATGTCAAGCTGCCTCGACGAGCACCTCGCTGCAAAAATAAATCCTTCAAGTAGTTAGCAAAACGAGTAAGTAGAGGTAAGGGAGGAAGCACAAGAAAAGGTCTGAGGTTCCGATGCCACACACCGGAAACAAGTTAATGGTAAAAAACACAAATGGACACGATGCCTGGTACGGCACAATTATGGCTTGTCTGCAGAAACAAATGACGACAAATACACGGACTGACTGACTGTCTTGATGTCTTGACGATACACAATGTCGTACTCACGATCAAAGTGAGTACCAGAATGGACGGATACAAGAGAGAATAAAAGGAAAAAAAAAAAAAAAGCGCACAGCGTCTATACACATAGATACACCAGAGAAACGCCACACTCAAGGGCAGACTCGGGCTTAATGTGTTGCATCAACACTGGCCAGCGGGCTGGTAGACCGTGCTGCATCGTCCTCAACCTCAGCAAGAGGAAGGAGGCTGTCCCGCCGCGACTTGAGCGACTTGCGAGCAGACACAATGGCACCGACCACCACCGCAAAGACACCGAGAACAGTGGCGGCAATAAGGAGGGGCGAGCCGGTTTCACCAGCCACCGCTGAAGCTGCACCCGTGAAAGACTCGAGGCCCAGGATGGAACGGCGGCGGTTGGCTACGCAGACGCGCTTGTAGTTGCCGGTACCCACGCCCGTGTAGCCCGAGGGGCACGATGCCAAGCACTCGCCATCAAGCAGGTATTGCTGGTTACGGCACTTGGTGCACTCACCAGCCACGCCGTTGACCAAAGAGCAGGTGTGGCAGTTGCTGCTGCAAGTGCAAGGCAGTCCCGTAACCGAGGCAACACTGTCGTCGCAAACCTCAACGCCGTCGAAGCTGGCGGGAGTGGTGGGAGGCACCTCGCAGTAGCGGCGGAAATTGCCAGAGCCTTGTGGGATGGTGCCAGCAGGGCACGAGTCAGCACAGGTGCCATCGGGTTGCAGATAGGCGGCGTTCTTGCAAAAGTGGCAAGTGTCCGCGGCGCCATTGGTCCAGTCGCACGTGTGGCAATCGCCCGAGCAAGAGCACGGGGAGCCGGTGACATTGGTGATGGTGTTCTGGCAAACCTCGTCGGCCACGGGCTCGGCGCAATAGCGGCGGAAGTTGCCCGAACCCATGGGGGTAGTGCCGCGGGGGCAACCGCTATCGCAGGTGCCATCGGGCTGAAGATAGGCAGCGTTCTTGCAGAACTCGCACTCGCCGGGTTGGCCGTTGATCCAGGCACACGTGTGGCAGTCACCAGGGCAGCGGCAGCTGGTGCCTGTCACGTCCGTGACAAAGTTGAGGCAGCGCTCCTCGGTAACGGTGGGAACCTCGCAGTAGCGGCGGAAGTTGCCACTGCCCTTGGGAATACTGCCCGTGGGGCATGAGTCGCCACAGACGCCGTTGGGCATGAGGTAGGCAGCGTTCTTGCAGAAGTGGCAGGCTCCAGGCGCTCCGTCGTTCCAGTCACAAGTGTGGCAGTCTCCGGGGCACGAGCAGCGCTCGTTGGTGTTGCGCGTGTAAAAGTTTTCGCACACGTCATCGGGCTCGGCCACGCTCACGATAGCCCGCAGGGCAGCGCTCGTAGCAGCTACCATCGAGCAGGTAATGCTGGTTCTTGCACTTCTCGCACGAGCCGGCAACAACGGCAAAACCGTCCCAGGCGCACGTGTGGCAGTTGGTCTCGGCGTCCTCGCACCAGCAAGGCTGGGTGGTGCCAGAGACGGTGCGAGCAGCACAGGTACCGGGCTGGCCGGAACCGCCACCGGTGGTGGGAGAGGCAGTGGTAGAGGGGGTGTCGATGCAAACGCGCGAGACAAGATCGTCGCGGACGGCCTCATTGAGGTTAGCAAAGTCGGCAACAGTGATGACGTTGTCGGCTGAGCCAGCAATGACCTCAAGCTGAGTCTCATCAATCTGATCCGTGATACCAATGGCCATGACCTGGGCGCCAGTGGCGCGAAGGGCCTGGGCAGCCGACTCAACCACCGAGGGCGATTCTTGGGACACGCCATCAGTGATAAAGTAAACCACCACCTCACCGCCACGGTAGCCGGCACTGGCTTGCAAGAGGTTGGTGCGGATGGAGTCGAGGGCATTGCCCGTGGCGGTACCCCAGTTCTCGTTGACGGGATAGTTGAAGTTGGCAACGGCATTCTGGACCTGGGCAGCAGAGGTGTAGTCGTCAAAGTCAAACTGTGGGAGGGCCTCGGCGTGGAACATCATACCGGCAACGCGAATGGCAGCCAATCCCACATCGAGCTGAGAGACGGCGCTAATCACAAACTGCTGGGCCAGGTTGAAGTTGGCCTGACCGACCGAGCCCGAGGCGTCGAGGACGAAGAGCACGTCAACCTGACGGAAGTTGCAGAAACCGCCAGTGGGCGCCACGGTCGTGCCAGGGCGAGTGGTTGTGGAGCTTGTGGTAGTGAGGGGGCGGGTGGTGGTGGTGGTGGTGGTGGTGGGGACACGCGTGGTGGTGGTGGTGGTGGTGGTGGTGGGCACGGGGGTGGTTGTGGGGATCTGGCCGGAAGGACCGCTGAAGAACTTGGGCGGCATCATGGGAGGGCGGGGCAAGCGCGGGGGAAGGAAGCTGCGCGGGGAAGTGCAGACAGCGAGGCCACCCTGGCAGGTGATGGCCACGTCGGGGTTGAAGAAGCTCTCAAAGGCATCGAGGGTGGCTGGCGCAAAGAGATCGCGGGTTGGAGCACCGGTCGGGAGGGTCGTAGCCGTATGCCTCGTACACAATCTCGGTCATACCGGCACCAAAGAACGCGCCGGGGGCGTAGTTGGAATCGTAGGTCCAGCCGCTGCCGGTGGCAAAGCTGGCTGACGGGGCGCTCCAGTGAGCTTGGACAGAGACCGAGTTGACGGGCAGCGTCAGCTCCATGTCAGGTGGGCAGGTAAAGCGCTTGCCAATACATTCGCCGTTACCCGAGCACACATCCTCCATCTATCACACACCATGGCGAGAGGCGGACTCTGAGGTTCCGGGATGCACTGTTCTTCCGCATGGAAGTGAGATCAAGCCAAGGGCGCATGTGCACGTACCGTGTTGTCGTTATGATCATCGCAGGGAGTGCCAAAGGCCAGAGGACGGGGCGCCAAGCAGACGCCGTCAACGCATTCCGAATCTGTTCATGAGCAGAAAAAGACTGGGTAAGTGTGCGACAAACGCCGTGCGCCCCCCACCCCCATCGAAGGTGGGGGAGGAAGTTGACGAGGGAGGGGCGAGGGGGACATTTCATGCCTCCAGACTCACCTTGGAAGCACTGTCCAGGGGCGCGAGGGCAGTCAATCATGGCGCAAATGTCCTCACGAGGAGGAGGGGTGCGCATGACGGTCGGGGGTCGGTTGGGCATGCAGCTGCAGGTGGAGAGGTCGGAAAAGCCACCAAAGGCAAAGGGGAAGGTGTCGGTGGCAACCGTGGCCGCGGCCAAGGTGGCCAACAGCACGGCGCGAATCATGATGATGGGCCGGATGCTTTTTGCTCTGGAGAATATGGGCAGTCACAGGCGAAAAAAAATGGAAAGAGCTAATGGGGATGTGGGAGGGGTTGCTTCAGGTTGGCACTGCCAAATCAAAAGGAGGAGGAAGGCCGCGGTCGAGCTGTGGGTGTAGTGAGGCAAGTGGTGTGTGGAGGGAAGAGCAAGCTGGCCGACGGGTGCTGCTCGAGAGGGTCACCCAGAAAATTGAGAGAGTAGAGTAGTTGAGACGAGATGTTGGGCGGCAGGCAATGGCAGGGGGGAGGGGGCCCAGTGGTGAGCGTAACACGATAGGTGTGGTAGACACAGGCAGTTCTGAGCATGTGGGCCGTGTGTGTGGCCTTTGGAGAATTTATAACAATGGTCAAAGTATGCGCATTCCTGCGGGCACAGGGACTGACCGAAAGGACGTTAGGCGGACGAGGCTCAGGTCCGTTGGCAGCTCAAGCTGGCCCGAGTAGCCAGCTCGACTCGTGGAAAAAGCAAGTCGAGAATTGGATTGGTAAGGTCTGGTCAGTTTTGGCAGAGCAGCAGCAGGGCTGCGAGTGCTTGTTGTGGAAGCAATCGGTCCTAGGAGATGGTGTTTAGTCAGGACCCAACACGGGAGAAGAAGAAGAGGAAGAGGGAGAGGAAGAGGAAGCAGAAGAAAAGGCTGGCGGTGGCTGCGATTCTTGCTCAACGTCAACGAGAACGGATGGCTGTGGTGTAATACATGTACAGTTTGGTCCGGTGTGTGGTGCCCTTCCAGCAAAGGGGGGTGGGGGCTGATCCTCGTGCCTGCGATCAAAACGTACCTGTGGTGTTTTGTCAATCCCCCACCCGTGCGCCACACACACCAACGGAAAACAATGGGACAGGTCAATGGAATGCATGCACTTGGCAGAGGCGGACGATTGGGAAGAACGTCCTCTTCACATCCACCCGCACAGCGCATTACATGCATGCATGCAACTTTCAGGCGAGCGGTCGTCAAAGTTGTCCGCAGAGATGATGGTGGCAGTGCGGGTTTGGCTGCTCAAGTGTGTGTGAGAACGTTGGACTTTCTGAAGCTGCTTGGTATGCCTTCTTGGATCCCAACTTTTGACAGCGGTCAACTGGGGGTCAGGTTCGAAGAGATGATGCGGCACCATTGGCTGGTCAGTGAGGGTGGGATGTTTTGAACCTGTTTGCTATGACATGGCCCGCTTAACGACGTTTGTGGGGTTATCGAGCCAGCACGAGCCGACACACAGGCTCTTTGGAAGTGACGTCCTGCCTTTGTCCTTCTTTCAGTGTCGCTGCGGTGGCTTGTTCCCCCTTGTCTGCTGCATGTTGATGTACACGTTGACACAGGCCGGTATGTCTTGTGCCTGCCTCAAAGTTTTGAATTGCCTTTTCAGAGCCGAATCACGGGGCAACCCAATGCCCGCATCAATGTCACAGGCATTCCAACGCTTTCGGGGCTTTGAAAGCGAACACCCCTTTTTTGTTTTCCAACCAGCGAGCAACTGGCACGAGGAGGTCGCACGCTTTACCCTAAGAACTGGCAAGACGTTTGACATTACAAATTGGTTGCATGCATGTTGAATAGGGCGGTTCAACTGCCCGACCGCGTACCCACGATTACACACTGCCCAAGGAACGAAAGCAAGGCACCCCCCAAGGTTGAGGAAGGTGAAGGCTCTTCGTCAGCCCCAACCAGATCTCACCTGGAAGAAAGAGGTCAAGAGAGAGAGAGGTCAAGAGAGAGAGAGGTCAAGAGAGAGAGAGAGGTCAAGAGAGAGAGAGAGAGCGCAGCAGCAGCAGCAACAGTATCCTCAATGATTGCAAAATTGCGTTCCAAAAAGTCCCTGACATCTCATAATTTCCCCCGTGCCCCCCCCCACCCCCGCTCCTCCCCTGGTCCCTTTTGTTCCCTTGCATCTCATGAGCGACTTGTAACCGCCCGCTGGCATTTGGGTCATTTGCGACGTGCCACAGTCACGCTCAAGCACACTCATGTCCATTCTTTCTCCTGCGCATATTCTGCCTCATTCTCTCCCCCACCTCTAGTCCACGCATAGCTTCCGCACGCTGCATGCTTTCAAAGTGCATACCAGGCAAAGCTATTGCGACGCATTCGTGTATGCATGCTGTTTCCAACCGCGTCGCATGGCAGCACCGCCCTTTCCGGGGGTTCGGCCCCGGGCGAGGCGCGCCGTTACAGCCGCTGGTGATTCCGTTGACCCTGCCTTGGATAGCAGACCTCCTTTTGTGACCGAGCCCTCGGCCTCGCACACTCAAGGCTGGCCTGCAACTGCTGTAGCATCTGCCACGACGTTTGTCAAAGCCCCACCCGCTTCCCACAATGCCGCAGCCACCCCACACCGTGCGAGTTGGCTGCATCGTCGCCTTGACCGTCACCACCACCACCACCACCACGATGCCTTTAGTCATCGTCCCTCGTCTCGCTCATCAGCTTCACCGCCCATCCTCGCGCCCGCTTCCGTCATTCGCATGCATCCATCATCTCATCCAGTCAATCCCACCACCGTTCGCATTCACCGTTACCGGTCCGACCGCGACTCCGACTCGGATTCTGACCTTGAGCGCGGCGCCACCTCCACCTCGCATCCAGCTGCTGACCGCTGTGCATCCTCAAGCACGAGTGTCTCTTCCTGCCTTCCACCCTCACGTTCAGCTGCGGGTCGTCGCCGCCGAAAGGTACGGGCATCGGCGAGTCACTCTCCCGGTGCGCACAACCGTTCTAGCCCGCCACAAGTTGAAGACTGGTGCCAGAGTCACGACAAGACCCACCATAACCACGGGGTCTCAGTGGCCAACCAACTACCGCGGCCCACGGTGACCTTGCAGCCTGCAGCCGTCTCGCCCATTCCCGGTCGAGAGCCGGCCGCCCCTGCCACTGCCCCTCTGCAGCCGCGTGCCAGTCGCCGCTGCGGCCTAGACGCGCACCACTGCACCGCCAGCCCTAGCCTCCCGGCTGCTTGTAAACCATCCGTCGACAGCGCCCCACTTCCATCACCCCCGACCATGGCTAACCGAGACGCTATTTACGACTCGCACAACGCTCTTCCGCGTCCACAGTCGGCAGCCGCGCCGCTGGGCCCAGGCGCTATCATGGCACATCGTGACGGCACCAGCGTCTCACCTCCATCCTCAGCGCGCCTCAGCCGCCGTTGTAGTAGCAAAGCTGGCCTTGGCGCTATCGCGGAAACGGGCCGCGCCCGCTCGGCGTTTGTCAGTGGCTCGCGGCGTACCAGTACTGCTAGCCTGGAGGTCAGCCTTCACCACATTTGTTTGCGGCGCAACCACAAGCGATTTGGCCTCGGCGTCAAAACATATGGTAGTGGCGAAGAGACGCAGCATTGTCTGCAGATTGATCCTGACGTGGACCTGCAGCTCATCTGTGGCTCTCACCAGCCCCATAACGGCGATGTCTTGGTGACCCTCAACGGCGAGAACGTCGAACAGCTCTCCCACGATGTGGTTGTTCGCATGCTCAAGCACTCGGAACACGTCCTACATTTGACCGTTCGACCAGCTAGCTCAACTGCCCTCCCTCCCAACGGTCCGCGCGCCATTTCACGGCGCGCCTCAGCCGTCCTGTTGGAATCCGTCTCCTCGCCAACCTTGCTGCCGGTCGTTGCCACCCCTACATCGGGCTCGCCGCCCTCGACGCCCTCAACTGCCTCGCATGCGGCTCTCTTGAATCCAGACACGAGGTCCCATCCCGCTCCCTCGAACTCGGAGACTACTCGCCGTGAGAGTTTGTCCAATAGCGGCACTCCGCCTCTACCCGAGTCACGCCGCCCTGTGCGCGAAGCTGTCTTCAGTGTCGCCACCACTGGCGCTGGTGCTGCCATCTTTCGCATGCGCGGCGCTCAGCTCCCCGACACACTCTCGGCTCGCTTGCAGCACTTGCTCAAACAGGTCAACGTTTTGCGCACTTGTGCCAGCCGCTATCACGCCATGCGCCGTGTCCACGAGTTCTACCTTACACGCGACTTTCAGCATCCCCTCTTTCTCTTGGCCTTTGTGCGCTTTGTCCAATGTCTGGCCCTTGAGGGACTGAGCCCCATCGTGCCCATGAACATCCAGAGCGCATTTGCCCGAAACCCGACTCCTTTGGATGCTGGATTTGTCCCACCCGTCTCCATCCTTAAGCAGCCCCGCCCTGCCGCCGCCCGGTACGTCTCTTGACTGCATTTGACTTTGGCATGTTGACGCTGGTCCTCATAAAAGCTCTGACTCACGTGGTCTGCCTGCTGGATCTTCGCGGCGAATGTCGTTGATGCCATGCTTGGAACAGGACGGGGGAATGGTTTGGCATGCGCTTGCAAGCCGATGACGTCCTGTTGGTGGATGTCCCGGGAGCGGTTGCCAGCGCCGTCACGCACATTATGCAGGACCTCGTCGACAAGCTGTATCCGCTGATTGAGCCCGGGTACGATTCACCGAGCCACCCAAAGCGCGCGCGTCGATGACACCTTGCTCGCGCTTACCCTCTCTTCCTCTCTCTCTCTCTCCCCTGCCTCCAATTGTCCATATCTGCGGATCCCGGTTGTTTCTCAACCCATAGGCAGGAAATCAGTGTGACTCATCGATCACACTGGCCGACGATTGAGATCTTTGATTTGTCCCGCATCAAGGAACTACGTGCCCCCTTACATGGGGCTGGCCGCGAAGGCCCATACCAATCCGTGCTGGCTTTTCTTCAAAACGAACTGGACATTCTGGTGGAGGAGCTGTGCTCCCTTGGCTGGCGTGTCTTCCTGGATTACCAGCAGGAGGAAGCCAGGATTCTGATTTGCACTCGGGCGAGCAGCCGGGCGTCCACGGCTTCAGTCTAATGAGGGCGCATTTTCTTTCTTTTTTTCGCATGGACTTCATTCTTGTTACCACTGGTGAGCGCCACCATGAGCTTGCGCTGCCATCTGTCTTGCATCTCCCGTGCACGAGCACGAGGGGGCTTGTGGAATTCTCAAATGTCCACGCCCGCCCCATAAAAGTTGTCACCTTGTCATAATTTCATACATGCCATGCCGTCTTCTCTTGCTGTCTGCTTCGCGGTCCATCAAAATTCATGTCTCGCTCCCCTTTGATCAATCTGCGCCCTTCCCGCCCCCTCCTGTCGACCCCACTTCCACCCTGTCCATGTTCCTGTGGGTTGACAGTCCATGCCCGACCGGGCCTCCCCGAACCAACATCAAGTCAAAGGCTCGGTCGTTGTCATCCTTTTTTTTTTTTTTTTTTTTTCTTCTCTCCTCTCTCTCGTACGGCGATTTCCATTGTGTGCTCCGTACTGGTGGTCGCGACCGCAACACGCATCGCCCAGAAGTAGCAGCTATCGCAAGGCACAATCTTTTGGGGTCGGGCGGGGAGCATGGCCACGAGCTCACCGGCTCCAGGAGTGCGGCCGCAGCGGTCTGGGGCTCACTCGACTGGCCAGCATCGCGTGGCAGCTAGCCAGATGCAGTCTACCCTGGCCGAGCTCTACGACGATGTGCAGCATATCCTTTCAGATGCGCCAGGTACACAGGGAGCTGACACGCCGGCTATCTCCGCTTCGGCTCGCCTCCATGCCAGTCGCGCCCCTCCAGCCCAGTCATCCCCGATGGCCAAGAGTGGCATGGCAGCGGCAGAAGCAACGGCGGAAGCTACCCCGCGGGTGGCTTCTGCTGGCTCAAGCTCAAGCTCAAGCGCTGTCCCTGCCTATGGTCCGGGTAATCGACGTTACGGATTTGTGCCCACGGCCTGTCAGTTTTGTCTGCAGACCGAGCACAAGGTTGAGCGCCTGCGCGTGTGTGCAAACTGCAAGTCCATCTCCTACTGCTCTGTGGCACACCAGCGCGCCGACTGGCCTTTTCACAAAAAGATCTGCAAAGCCAAGTGCAGCATTTACGACGAGAAAGCCTTAGTAGCACAGGCTGAGCGCGCCCAGAACGTTGACGAGTGGTGTCGCTCTCGCGTTGCCATCATCAACGGTCTGCAAATGATACAGGACATTATGCAGGAGACCCTGCTCAACCCCGTGGAGCTGGAAATGATTACTTTTGCTCGGCACTGTGCCGTCTGCTACGAGACAAAGCGCGACCGGCTCTTTGACTGCAAGCACTGTCGCATGGTGAGCTACTGCTCCGCAGAACATCAGCAGCAACATCTTGTTGCCCACCAGCGCGACTGTCCACGCTGGCTCTTTGCCCTTCACTGCCTCCAAGCGAAGCGGGTACGTTAGAATAGCCGTGCCCCGTGCATGTGCGGGCGCTCAGGTTGCATTCTCTCGCGTTCCACGTCGCCAATATCGCCACTCATGCTGCCCGACCCGGCTCTTGCTCTTGCTCTACCCGTGGGGTCATGCGCGGGCCTCACGTGGATGTTCTCAAACGCTGGCCCTTTTGAAATCGCACCCGCATTAGCGCCACGACCTACCGCCAATATGGCTCTCGCCCTTGGTATGCCAGTCGTACCAGCCATTGCCCTTGACCTGGGAGGGCTACCTGGGATTGCGGGCCGCGCCTACCTTGCCTGGTCCAGAGCTGGCTCTGGTTACCGATGCCCTCAGCGGGACCGCTTCAATCATTTATGCTCTTGAGAGGTGCGCCAATGGCTCACCGACAATCGCTAGCTGCCCGCAAACTGCTCAAGCCATTCTCTCGAGGCAACTGATTGTGGTGGTCAACACAGGATGGCTTTTGTTGAGGACGGCACTGTCAAAACCATCAACCAGATGAAATCTCTAGTCATACACATCCTCAACACTGACCGCAATGAGGTGCGAGTCCTTGCTGGCAGATGCTCAACCCTCTTGTTCTTGCTTTCCTTTGAGAGCGAAGCGGAGCACGCGCAATGTTCTCTTGACAGCCCGTCTGATCCTTGCCGCCCGACGTGCTGGGTCACGCCGCGCCGCGACATGTATAGCTAATCTCCATCACCAAGCACGAGGAGATTTTACATTTTTTCCCCGCTTTAGAGAGCCTCACTGTCACAGTCATTGGTCGTGATTTGAAATGCGACATTGATGTATGTGGCCGCTCGCTATTCTTGGATGGGGTTGACTCACCTGTCAAAAAAGTTAGGGTCGCTTCCAGCCTCTGGAATAGGTCTCATGACAGCTGATTGACTTTTTACCTGCGCCGACAGATGATCGCGACAGAAGAGCTGGTGTGCGACACCTGCCTGCACTTGAGTCGCAAGCTGACCTTTGCCGTCTATCCTGGAACCTATCCCGAGTTTCAAGAGGCCTGGCGCAATGATTATCCTGGCGGCAAAACCCCGCATGTGCGTACTGAGGGCGTCTTCATGTTGGGGTGCGGATCTTATGGACTCTTACAAGTCGAATGCCTCACCCCCCAAAAAAATGGGCTTGTGTGTGGCTGGCTGCTTTGTTTCCCCCCTTTTCTATTTCTTGATAGCTGGCGGTTGCCTTTGATTCGCGACTTTTCGGGCCGTGGGAACAAGGAAGCGAAGACTACGTGACAGACACCATCACACATCTTTTGGACCATGGCGTACCCACGCTCGTGACGGGCCGATATCGTCGATGCATCACGGCACAGCATGACGCCTTGCGCAAGGGGGATGCCCGATTTGTCCTACCCGTGCAGGCCAACCCCTTTGCCGGACTCGTACCGCATCGCATCGCCGACCTGCATCATGCTGGTGGCGAGGTCCTAGACCACACCAATCAGTTCCTGGCTGCCTTTGCGGGTCGGCAGTGTCTGGGCACGAAAAGCGGGCCTGCAACGCCAACCCCCGTCGACACGTCCGTCGACTATGCCTCTTGCTATCGCTTGCTCGTACAGACGGGGGACCGTGCTCGACCAGGCATGCACCGTGAGCGATGGCCTGTCGACATGGCCTCCTCCGTGGCTAGTGGGAAAGTCAGCAGGGAAGAACGCCCAAGTGCCGACGCGGCTGAGCCGCCTGTTTAATTCAAGTGCTACTCGAATTGCGCGAATAAATGAAATGCTCTTTTGTGGCTGAGGCCCAGTTGTTGAAAACATGCTGGGGGACGTCCGGCCACTCAATTGTTGACCAAAGGAGAGATGTTGCTTCTATTTGAATGCTGGCCCTTTGACGCCACTGCGTGAGCGGTGTCGATTCATGTACAAAACGCAGAGCTTCAGAACTGTGGAGGGACCAGGTTCAGCAGCCAGGGGGCCAGGAGAGCTGCTTGCCTCCCATAACGTGCAAATGCAGGTGGTACACTGATTGGCAGCCGTTGGCTCCATTGTTGACCACAACGCGGTAACCGGCGTCTAGCTTTTGCTCCTCAGCCACCTTGGCGGCAGTCAACATGAGGTGTCCCAGTAGCTGAGCAGCGCAGGGCCATGGGTGCACGGTGCACGGGTCGTTGAGCGGCGAAATGACAGTTCAGGCGACGCAAAAAGAAGAACTTTGGTGTTGAAGCAAGGGGGTCAAGGTAGTCTGCCAATAAGAAATGAGCACCATACCTCGGCTTGCTCTGGCTGGGCCTTTGACAGCATTTCAATGGGCGTCTTGGGAATGACAAGGAAGTGGGTAGGGGCCTGAGGGCTGACATCGTTGAAAGCTAGACAGCGTTCATCTTCATAAATGATATCCGCAGGGATTTCGCGGCGAATGATCTTGCCAAAGATGGTGTCACCGCCCTCCACTGCGAGGGGCGCAGTCACGCGTGAGCCACAAAGGCGAAGATGCACAGAGGAAGAGCGAAGATGCACAGGAGAAGAACGAAGATGCACAGAGGAAGAGCAAAGATACACAGGGGAAGAGCTCGAATTGACTAGCAGGGGCATTGCCGACCGTGGGATTGGGCAGCCGTCTGGGCCTTTTGTGCTTCGTCAGACATGGTGCGGGTGGTGGCACGGGGCACGAGGTTACGTGCACACAACGATTGTTGTCCAACACGTCGAGCCAGCTGTCGCAACATTGGCAGGGAAGCCTATCGTCGGGTTGAGCGACGTCGAGGTCAGTTGGAGCCCTATTGAAGAACCTACATCGTCGTTGTCTTCCCGAGGGGTCTCCAGTCACGAGAGGAGCACATGGCTCCAGCAGATCCCTGCCTTGACTTGAAGTCCCTGCCTCCTCTCAGCGCCCGCCGCCCTCGCCATTCCCTCACTGACACTGAGATGGGAAGATGGGGGGACGGGCCGTCAACTCACCAAAACACCACTGTCAACAACAACCAAAAAAAAAATTTACAACAGTGCTAGAGAGAGACAGAGAGAGAGAGAGAGAGTGTGTGTGTGGGTTTGAGAAAGAGAAAGAGAGAGTTTTGAGAGAGAGAGAGAGTTTTGAGAGAGAGAAGTTGAAGCTGAGGGAGTTTGAGAGATAGTTTGAGCGAGTGTTTGAGAGAGAGTTTGAGAGATAGTTTGAGCGAGAGTCTGAGAGAGTTTTTGAGAGAGAGAAGTTGAAGGAGAGAGAGGGTTTGAGAGAGAAGTAGAGTTTGAGAGAGAGTTTGAGAGAGAGTTTGAGAGAGATCAAACTTGCGTGCGGTCTTCCCTCGCCCTCATTCTCGTTCTCGTCCTCGCCCTCGTCCTTGCCTTTGGTTGGGAGGAGGGGTAGCCAGTGCCAGTGCCTTTGCTGGGTGGGGGGCGATTTGGCAGCTTTTGATTTGGGTCGCTGCGTTACCTAGCCAGGCCCGCCTGGTGAGAGTGTGGCGAGGCTGGCGGTACGGCCCCGCCTTGTGGAGCGAGCTGACCATCACCACTATGGCGGATCTGGCCATCCTTAGCCTGCAAGAAACGGCAGAGCTTTTGGACAAGGTGGGCACATGCCAAAAAACCCAGGATTCAAAGGCCATGTCTCAGGTTCTTACGACTTCTGGCATCTTGCTAGGCGGCCAAGCTACCCTTGGCCAAGCTCCAGCAAGAGATGAGCTCGCACACGGCCAAATGCATCATCTTCTCCCCTCGACCAGGTTTGGGCCGTTTTTCCGAAAAATTCCTCAAGGATCACACGGGGGACACTCTGGTGGTTGCACTTGCATCCCCACCTCTCTATGCCATACCTCATGAGCCCCCTTTTCTTTTGAATAGCGTCAGCACCGCCCGGACACTGGAAGAAGCTGGTCATGGCCGCGCAGGCAGCCTTTGACAACGAAGGCGCAGAACGCATGCGCCGTGCTTTACAGGTTGGCCTTTCTTATCTGAGCTTGCTCATGTGGCTTTTACAGCCCAAACACACCTGGTTGGCCACGATACAGTGATGTGGCCCCGCTGGGCGCCGCCCGCATACGGCTGCGTCAGGAAGCCTCGGACATTACCATCTTTCTGCCTCGCGCTCACCCCTCGGTCGTGGGTGTAGGGCGAGGTGATGCTGCTGCGAGATGGAGCTGCCACGCCTTGCGAGAGCGCACCATCCTTCTCTGAAACCCCGCATGTCACAGCTGCCACTGAGACCACCGAGGTGCCTACCATGCTCTCCGTGCCAACGCCCGTGGTGGACTCGTCCGTCATGATTGCAGAGCCAGCCAAAGTGACAACGAGTGACTCTAGTATGGCCGACAAGTCTGGCGAGGTTGGCGATTGTCCTGCCAAGTCGGCAAGCCTGCGCCCCTGCTTGCACCGAGGCTGATGGCTGCCCTCAATTTCATGATGTCATACGTTTTTCGGCCATCGGGTAACCCCCCCTTTCCCAGGTGACTTCTTCCACGGCCAATGGTGCAAATCACATGACGACACCGGATACAGCTGAGAGCCTACTGCAGGGCCTAAAGAGCCACCTCAGGGGTGAGATCCCGCATGTCCTGTACACTCTTTGTTCGTCTTGAATTCGCTTCCGCAGTCTCATGCAGCTGATCGAATCCCCGTTCTTGTCTTGCCAGAACTGACCAGCGATCATTCGTGTACCGTTGCCGTGCTTCGCGTAAATCCTGCCAATGGGCTCGGCCGCTCATTACGCCCGGGTTACCTACCACCAAAGTCCAGGATATCTGATCTCGTTCCTTTGTGTGTTGGCACGCCCGATAGGGTATGCGCACTGAGCAGCTATGTCATTACCTCAAGGACCGCGAACTGGCCGATGTTCGACATCTCGAATCGTATGTGCAGCCTCACCCTCGTGAGCACGCTGTCGAGTACCTGTGTGCACTCATCCAAGCGCCAAACGCTTCAACCAGATTGGCAGAAAGACTCTTATGGATGCAACAACAAGAGGTTGCACCGGGCCATCTTCGCAAGATCAGCTTGGCTTGCCGGCAAGCCCTCGCACAACGGACCGTTCCTCTGTTCTGAGATGCGAGGCCACGGTAGCCCGATGCTTGGGATTATTTTAGAGAACCCAGAATGAGAGACAGACATCGACAAAAAAAAAACCAAAAACCTCATCACATCAAAAGTTGAACAAAAGAAATCGAATGCTAGATGCATGCATGCACACACACACACACACACACACACACACACACACACACACACACACACACACACACACACACACACACATACACATCAAAATACACGTCCGCGCAAGATTTGATGCGTATTTTCCTCGCCGTTTTCACAGCAGACCAGCTCAAACCCAAGCTGTCCAAGCGTACGGTTCAGCTTTGGGTCGATATGTCGGCCACAGCCCCAACAAACACGCCGCCACACGCAGGTGCACAGTCAGACTTGAGCGTTGGCTCACATCGGTCCGCACCAGCCGCCTGGACGCCAGGGTCCATGCCTGCCCGTTCCGTCGCCTTACCCATGCCGGGCCATAATGTGACGGCGCGATGGCACTTGGGGGGTCACATGACGTCCTCTCATGCTGGACCGATTGCATCGCCGGCCAGTACTAGCACGGCCACTACTGCGGCATGGCCGGCCCATCTGATCCTCGGCACCGAAGCTCGCCTCTCGCCTGCAACCTTCAGAACAGCCCAGGCACAAGCACCGGTCCCGCAGTTCCAAAGGGGCTCGTTTCAAGGTCCACACATCGTCTCCGGCGTAAATAATGGGCAGGTTCCCGGTGCTGCGATGTCATCAGCACCCTCACAACGGCGTCGAATCTGTCGTCGCTACTTCACTGGTGACCGGGTAAGCCCTGGTGTTCATGATTTCTTGATCCAACAACGTATACGTTTGGCCGTACTACTGTATCGAACCCGAGGCGTCGCCCACGATGCATCATCGTCGCGTCCTGGCTTTCACACTTGCAGGTTTATGTGGTCTTGGAGAAGATGGACTCAATTCTGGAATGTGAGGTCGTCACGGTCCCTGAAGACAATAATCGCAGCTGGTACACTGTGAGGTTGGTTGCCCTATTCAACTGCAATGAGCGCCAGCAAGGCGCTTTTCCAGTTGGGTGGATCCTGTTTGTTGATGAGAAAGCGTTGCCCTGCCCCCTCATTTTGATGTTCTTTTTAAAAAACAAAGACGCTTGGACCGACCTGGCAACTCAGCAGCCCATGGTGCAAGTGCAGATCGCCACCCCTCAATCTTCAAAGTGCGGGCTCATCAGATGCAAGCAGCATATGACGTGCACAACCAACGTCTTCTGGCCACCAAACGGCTGCTTTCCAGCTTGACATGTGCGTTCCAAAGTTCGACAAGACTTATTTTGCTAGCTGTACGCCTGGGGTTGTCTGGGCCTGTTCAGGCTATCAGGCTCGGCTCATACTCGTTACATATCCCTCAAAATAGACCGGGCGGCGCAGTCCGAGGCTCAGCGCATCACCATGATGGCCTGGGCCGAGAACAATGCCAGACGCACGGGCGTTTTGACTGCTCCGTCGCCGTCTGCAGTGGCGGATCCAGTCGAACGTCCAGCCAAGCGGGTGCATCATCAACCCATTGCGCCATCAGCCACGCCCGAGCGCATCGTGCCACCACTGCCCCCGACCTCTCCTGAAGTTGGAGGCCTGGCATCGTTGCTGACTCACAAACGGGCCCATCCCGTGACCCTCACCAAAGCCGCGCTCTATGGTCTTCCCAGCTCGGTATTTGCACCGACTGAGCCGGTTGCAGCCCAATCCGAGGTTGGCAGCGCGAACCAATCCCACACATGCACATCTTTAGCTCGACCACGAGCCCAGCACCCTGCCAAACAATCCGAGCGCAGACCAAGCAAGGAAACTTCAATCAAATCTCATCCTGTTGACGGAGGAACAGCTACATCGGGCCGCTTCGTCTGGCATGAGACCTTGTTTCAAAAGCATCTGGCCCCGCGACTCTTTCTGCAGCTTCTGCAAACAATAGCCCAGTACACAACCTTATACCTGGAGGTGCGTACCACATCTGGCAACGAGAACGATGGACTTTTATGCTCACGATACTGCATTCGTCACGCATGGTAGCTCGACCCAACACCGACTAGAGTGAGTGGTATTGTCGGTGCGCTATGTGCAGCAGAGGCGGTCATAGCGGAGCAGCACTTTTTTCTCGGGGTTGAGGACCTGTTGACTGCGTGTGGTGTGGGGTTGGTGCCATGTGACTCTCGCTCTTTGGTCGCAAATCAACGTGCTCACATCTCACCATCAAGCTGTATCCTCATCGCTGATGATTGTGTGCACAACCATGGCGATTCGTAGACGACCATTTGAAGTTGCCCAAAGTTTGTTTCAAGCACTGCCCACCCTGCATCGTCAGATCTTCAGACGCCCCGATTCGGCGCTGTTTTTTCGAGAGCTCGCATCGCAAATGCTCGCTGACTTGACCCAGGAACAAGAAGAAGAGGAAGCCCTACCGCAGCAACAGGGCAGCGCACGATGGCGCGCAACGCAAAACGCGGCATTGGCCGCTGCACGTGCCTTGCGCAAAGAGCCGACTCAGCCGCCAACTGAAGCTACCAACTCCTCGCGTCAGCAAGAGGCGCAGCCCGTCGTTTCGGCCCAACCTCAGCAGCAGCAGCCGGGCCCAGCATCAATGCGCCACACGGACAGAAATGCTCCAAAGACTGAGCACCAACGGCGCCTGCAGCGGGCGGCCAAACGCGCTGCTAACCGCGCTGCTAACCGCGCTGCGCTCTCTGCATCATCCGCCTCTGCATCGTCACAGCCCCCTCACGCTGACGCGAAGAGTAGGACGCATGCAAATCAATAAAAATTTCAATCTTCCCTATGAGGGCGAAAACGAATCGTCAAACCAAAAAGTTGTTCAAAACTCGAAAACCATTTGTTGCCATTTTTCCAAAGGCTGGCGTTTAGGTGTTCAAGGTCTGTCGGCAGAGGTGCGTGATCCGCGGCACGTCATTCAGCGGCTGGTGCTGGTGCTGGTGCTGGTGCTGGTGCTGGCGTGGAAGGGGTAGAAAGAGGGAGTGGGAGCGAGAGGGGCAGCAGAGCCATCACCGTTTCGTGGCCACCGGCTGGCATTTGTCTTCCAAGGCCCTTGATGTGCTGCGTGCTGAACCCTCCTCGTGTTGATGTATTAGGGTTCGACATGACGATTCTACAAGCAGCCTGTCGGCGGCAGCCGCGGCTGTCGGCGGCAGTGTCCGGAAGGGGCTTGCGTGGCATACAAGCGCGCTCCAAAACGTACATTGCCGGCATTGGCATCGAGACAGTGACGCGGCAACAAGACAAAACACTGGAAGGCATGGGCAGCGCTGCTATCAACCAGGCCGTGTCGCACGCGAAGCTCGATCCCAAGCAAGTTCGCGCTCTCTTTGTTGGCAACATGATGTCAGGCATGCTCTCCCATCAGCAGCACCTCGGCCCGTTGCTTGCCAATGCTGCGGGCCTCGAGCGCGCAGAGGCTGCCACCGCCGAGGTAAGAGGGCTTTGCGCTTCTGATGCTAGCGCTTTATCATTATTGATCGCCGGTCCTTCGTTTTTTTTTTTTTTTTTTTTTTTTGTGGCACACACGCCACCACCACCACCTGGTAGGCCTGTTGTGGGGCGGGTGGTGCAGCATTGCGCTGGGGCTACATGGCCATTGAGAGCGGTGAAGTGGATGTGGCTGTGGTGGCTGGTGTTGAGCTGATGACACATTGCGACCGTGACATGGTCACAAAAGCGTAAGTTGCGTTCTTTGAGCAGCATGTGGTGGCGTGAAGTACATTGACAAATCCGTTGTATCGCTTTGCCCTGTCTTGTCCTGTTCTGGATTCCCCTTCACGCCTTCTTTCTCGATATCTTTGGTGCTAGGCTGGCAACGGCATCCTACTGGCCCGCAGAGGGCGCCGAGGGCGAAACATTCGTCTCTCTGAATGGGGCGGTTATGCGCGAGTACATGCGTCGCTACAATCGTCGCCACGAGGAATTCGCCCCATTTGCCATGGTGGCTCACAGCAATGCCAGTCTTTCTTCTCATGCTGTGTTTCGCCACAAATCACTGGACCGGGAGACTTACGAGCAGGCCCAAGTCATTACCGATCCCATTCAGGTAACGTGATGGCAACGGTAACACTCACTGCATATGCTCAACTTGCTGCAGCATATGGCCACGCCGCGCGCAGGGCACACTCTGCGAGTGTGCTTTGGATTGACACTTGCACTCAACTGGCATTGATGTTCGCCCCCCTCCAGCTATTTGACGCCTCGCCCACCTGCGACGGCGCTGCGGCCGTGGTCTTGGTGTCGGATCGGGCGCTTGATGCCCTGGATGCCTCGGTCCGCCAACAACTGGTCGAAGTTCGCTCCAGCGCAGCAGCCATCGGTTCGTGCAGCCAACCCCAGACTTCCGGCCACAACAGCAAGTTGTACTTGCCTTTCCCTGCTAAGCATACCATGTTTTGGGTGGACGTGTAGATCAATTGGCCATTGCCAAGCGCCCAGACCTTTTGGCGCTGCGCGCCGTCCAACAGTCGGCCGAAGACGTGAGTCAACTCTCATTGATCTTGAGCCGCATAACTTGAGCTCATGACGAGTGTATAACCTCTGTCTTGACACACCAGCGGTGACTGGTTGACCGGGTTCATGTTGGATCACGCGCTCTCTGATCAACTGCCTTTCGGTGGACTCTAGAGCTTCCGCAAGGCCGGTGTGACCGTCAGTGATGTCGACATTTTTGAAATTCACGATGCCTATACCATTATGGCCGCTTGCTCGCTCGAGGTGCGTGTTTGGCTGGTGCTGTTTTGTCTCAATTGGCATCAGCTCTCAAAAGCCTTGTTCTGCCTTGCGCAGAATATTGGGGTTGTGCCTCCCGGCACGGTCTTGGATCTGGCTGCAGATGGCGGCCTGAACCTGACGGGCAGTACACCCATCGCCACATTTGGTGGTCTAAAAGCTCGCGGGCATCCGGTAGGGGCTCGCCCGCATAGTGTCGCTGTGGGAAACACTTCCTGGACTCATTTCGCGTACGGCTGGCCTTCGTGATGTGTGTGTGGCCGTCCTGCAGGTCGGCGCTACGGGCGTGTATCAGGCTGCGGAAATGTTCTTGCAGCTCACTGACGCCGCTGGTCCAAACCAAGTCAGCGAGCCTGAGGTTTGTGTCATGTTGGCTCGACAGTCGTCTGAATGCCCCTTTTCGGCAATCGTGCGAGAGCGATTCTTCTTCATCACTGACGTGCGTTGACAACACAATTTGCCCACTTTCAGGTGGCCTTTATTCAAAACGTGGGCGGTACCGGCTCGAGTGTGTTTGCACATGTGCTCACACGCGCTTAGAAGCGCTAGCTTGTTTGGTCTTGCTCCCAGTTTGCAACCGACGCCCTCGTACATGCCAGTGACAAATAATCGGAATCTGATGTCTTTTCGCAACCATTGACCTGTGTGCTCTCTGGTTATCCTGGTGTTCACGGAAGGCAGCCCTCCCACAAACAAACAAAGACAGGCAAAGCTTGGTCAAGAAAAAAAGGCTGACACTTGACCGTTACTTTTTTTTTTTTTTGTCTCGTTTTCGTTTTTTTGGGTCGCTTTTGTGGGCCATCATGATCATCTGGGAGTACTGATCTCGACCGGCACGGCGGCCATAATTTTTGCGCAAAAAGTGGCGGGGTGGCCTATGCAAGAAGCCAATTGTTTTAATGATTATAGCTCAAAATGGGTCGACGACGCCATATTCAAGCGGCAGCTGAGCGCCTGCGCCGTTTGCAAGGGTTACTCCGAGATTTGGGTCGGGAATGCCCGTGCATCGTGGTGGCAGGTCCCGATACCTCCGACCCGGCCACCTGGCTGCCGGCCGACGAAATGACACAATTGTACATCTGGTACGTACATTCTCAGAAGCCGTGGCTGGGGCTGTGGTGAGGCCGCATTCATATACATCTCTCCCCGTTCGCAGGCTCTTGGGGGATGATTTGCCGGTGGCGCGTTCCATCATGTTTGTGCTCCCCGAAGCCATTCATGTTTTGAGTTCGCCCTCCAAGCTCGGCTACTTTGCACCATTGCTAGCAGAGGATACCAACTGGCAAGGTTCCTCACGCGACGAGCTGCCGACAATCATCAACGACATACGACGCAAGCATCTCAAAGCCTATGGCGTTGAGCGCATGGCCACAGGGGAGTTACTACGCGACAACCAAAGCCTGCAGGCCGTCGCGCAGGTCATGAGCCAGCAGGGGCTGCTGCTTGACGTGTGGCCAACCGCCGTGCAGTCGAGTATTGGCGTGCTGGACTCAGCACAGCTGAAGAATATCCGCAGCATCGAACATAGAATGCATGCCGCTTTGGAGGTTGGTTCTCAAACCTACGGTCATGGCCCCACTTTTCCTGTTGGACTGGCCCGGCCGCTTTGCTTGTGGCTTACATTTGCTCATGTGATCACACATTTGTAGAAAACTGCCGCAAACGCCCGGCGGGACTGGGCCGATGAAATGCCGCTCTCACGCCAGGCCTTGAAGAGCCAAGTTTGCGAGCTCGTAAAAGCGCAGGTGTGCGTTGCTCCTCAAGTCGATAGGCGTTGGATGTGGTGCTAGTTGAGCTGTGACTGATGACAAGCATTGTGCGCTGGCCGTCGCAAATAGTTTGGCAGCGAGCCAGTCTATAATTTGACTGTGGATGTCCACGATGACGGCGATTGCTTCGCCCTGGAACAAAGTCGGGTACTAGCGGGCCGTATCAACCCACATCACGCGACGCGTCGATCCGATCGCCTTCGTGAGGGGAGTATTACATACGAGGTGTCCTTTTACGCGCGAGGTAGGGATGTGGTCTTTCTCCATCATGCCTGTACTGGTACCGCCCATTGCATCGGTCCAAGCTGGATGCTAACATGGGCTGCCTCGAGAGCCTGATTGTTACTATGCGACCTGGCCAGTTCACAAGGATTGCGTCCGCCTGTGCTCAGGGCGCAGTCACTCGCGTGTGGCTACACAAGTATTCTCCCCTACCGCCCGCCACCAGGAAGTGATGGACTGTGTTGAAGCAATGCGCTCGCTGCTGCTCAAGCTGCTCGTGCCTCATCGACCCGCGAGGTGATACTTGCCAGCTGTGCTGAGCTACGCCCCTAACGCTAGCATGGGCTGACGGTGAACAACTCATGGTTCAGGTGGTGGCTTTTGTCTTCCTTGAGGGGCCTTACAGCGGCATTTATGCTTCCGTGTTGGAGTTGGTGGAGCGTCAGGCGTCTTGGCTGGCCCCCTTTCTCTTGCAAAGCCTTGGTTCAAGTCCCGAGCTTGACTTTCACATTACTGCTGACTCCAAGTGCGATCAACCCCGGCATTGGTTGTGGCGCTGTACTTGAACAGTTACCGTTTATGTGCTCAAGCTGCCGCCTTGCTGTGCTCATTCTTCGTATCGGGCGGTGTACAGGCAGCTTGTGCCGTCGGCAGGCAGCCTCTGCTTAACCTTGGGTTTTGCCAACGTGGTCTTGGCTCCTGATTTACCCACGACGACGCTGGTCTACTCAGTGCATTGCTTGCTTGATTCTAACCAGGCACCCATGCAGCGGTATACCCCCATTATCCCACGGTTAGTTGCTCAGCCAGCACGCGCCCGCGCCAAACGCTGCTACTTTTTCTCATCTGATCGAATATCATGTTCAGCTGGGCGCTTGGCAAGCCACCTTGGCTGAACAAACGATGCCACGAGAGCAGACATACCCCTCATCAGCTTCCAACCGACGTGCTGGAGCGCATATTCCGCCGACTTGACGCATGCAGCCTGGCCCGGGCCGCACAGGTGTGTAGGAAGGAAGAAAGGGGAGAGGGGCGGGGAGAGAGAGAGAGAGAAGGAGAAGGAGGAGGAAGAAGAAGAAGAAGAAGAAGAAGAAGAAGAAGAAGAAGAAGAAGAAGAGAGGAGCATGGTATATTGAATCCTCATGTGGTGTTTGCTTGCGTCAGGTCTGCCGCCGCTGGCGCGATGTCCGCTGGCGCCTGTTAGACATGGGTGAGTGCTTGCAAGGCTGGTGGATGGGAATGATCGTGCGACTGCAACCCCCCTCAACATTTTCTGACATAATATTAGGGGCTGTGCGGCACCAGATTGCGTGGGAGAAGCGCCTCTTTGTCGACGGCACCGATCTCAGTCGTCGCGGTGGGTCAACTGAAGCTTTGGCTGTTTCTTTGAAGGCTTGATGACACCGACTGTTCAAATCGTTCTTGTACTTTATTATTTTTGCATCAGCTCACTCGGTTCGCCTTTATCACCCTCCGTGCCGGGGTCTTTTGACACGGAGATGCAGGATTGAAACAGCGCACCGCCTTTCTTGGCGTGTCTGATACATTTGTGCCTCTGCAGCAGAACACCCGGCGTCGTCTTGCTGTTCTGAAGCTTTTGCGTCCCCGCTTGGCTCACTTGACACATTTCAGCTTTGCTGGTTGTCGGGTGCGGCCATTATGGAATAGATCTGGCATCAATCGTGCAGTGACATGCTTGCTGATGAAGTGCTACTTCTGTGTTGGTCGGTCTTGCTTGGTTAGCTTCAAGCTGAAATGGAAGCTCGAGAGTTGACGCAATTGGCCCACATTCGAGAACTTAATCTTTGCTCCCTCTTCACGGATAACATTATCCCGGTTCGTGAGACTGCTTGTCTTCTTTGTCGATTAGCTGCACTTCGATTGCCCTCTCCTGGTCCGGGGCAGAGCTCATGGGACTTGAACCTGGCTCGTCTATAGGTAGTAGAAGCGCTGGTACAACTGATTCCACGCGCTCGGCAACTGCAGCACCTGGCTCTGCGATCCAACATGATCGGGCCATCTCGTTTGGCTGACCTGCTCTCAGCCATTAGCAGGGTGGGTGCTGAAACGTCTTGGTTGATCTTACAAACTTGCTTGGCAGGAGAAAGCTTACGCCGATGTTATTCGTGCTTGCTGCCCTAGCATCCATCGCTGGGCGTGTTAGATGTGCGGGGCAACCCCATAGGGGATGCAGGTGCTGAACACATTGTCTTGGGTGCGTAAGCTCTCTGGTTCGTTCCTGTTATCGCAAGTCCAAGGATGAAATCTCAAGCTCTGTGTATGGGGGTTACAAAACTTTTATAGCTTTGCAAGGCAATGAGTTGTCAAATCTGCGGCGTCTCATTGTCGGTAGCCTAACGGCGAACCTTTTCCCTTCGGTCTCCATCTCCGCCAGTGGAAGGCAGCGACTGGCCGAGGCAGCAGCCTTGGCTGACCACCCAGATTTATTCTCCTTGGACGGCGTGCCACCTTGCTATGGCGATGATGGGTCCACGGAAAAGCGCCACGTTCCACGCCAGCAACAGCAGCGTCGGCGCATCGGCCATGCTGCTGCCGCTTCTGGGGCAGTGGGCGGTGAGGGTGCTGCCCCAGCCGCGGCGGCTGGTGTTGACTGGCGAGAGGTCTTTGTCGACGAGTGATTGAGCGCAATGCAGACGCCATCGAAGTTACAAAATTGATAGCACGATTTCATGCTGGAGAGTGATTTTGATGAAATAGATAGAGAGAGAAAAAGAGAGAAGAAAGAAAGATGAATTGGTTCGAGAAAGGCACACACAGCAAAACGAAACAAAAAAAAAAATGGTTGATTTTCAATTTTTGGCAGACGTGGTGCTGATTGACTTGACTCAAACTCACTGGAGAGAATGCCGACTCCAACAGAGGTCGGGAGTGCCCTCTTTACGGTACTGCGCGAAAACGCCAAGGATGAGTTTGCCAGTGATGAGGCCTTCTCCAATATGGTAAGGTTCTGACCTTGGCCCGAGGCTGTTCCCCGCCATTCCCGCTGCAGAGGGGCAGCACAGACGGCGTCGCATGTGGGCGGCTTTTGACCTGTGGGTGGCAACGGCCTGGGTGTGTGTCTAGCTGGAGTATGCTTTCGGGCACATCCACTTGATCAAGCAGATGAAGGAGAAGCAGCGGATAGCCTGCCTCTGGCACTTGGTTGAGCTGGGTGGCATGCCTCTCATCATTCAGACGCTTCAACCCGGTCAACGCGCTCTCAGCATGGGCATGACGCTCATGGGCATCATGTTTCATGGTACGAACGTCGGTGCCGGGTCATGGTAGGCGATGGCTATGCCAAGCGGCTCATATGATGTTCGATTTTAGACGAGAATTTGCTGGCCCACAAAATGGGCAAGCAAGCCCTGAATAATGACAAGTGCGTACACAGCCTCGACCCATCGCTTCTTGTCATGTTTCAGCTCGTCTTGCTCAAATCTAGCATGCCACCCGCTCTGCTCCTCTCCCTGCCGGCATATGGTTTTGGCTTTAGGTTTTTGCCGGCCATTGCTGCGGGTCTGCAGCCTGGCCAGGACAACATGTTGCCATTTCTAGTGGCGCAGGTGCTTCAGAATTTGCTCCGATCTGCTTCTGCAAAGCACATCCAAGCGGTCGCATCCCACGGCGACGTGTTGAAGCGACTCCTTGGCATGTTGCGCGAGGCAGCCGCGAAGCCTGCCAGCACAGACTGGCGCCTCCTCTTTGTCCTCGTAGACATCCTGAATCTGATGGAGACAGCCAACGCGCACGATGCCCTCGACAGCCAGGTGCGGTGGAAGCCCCTGTCTCTTCTGGCAACCAGCCCTCGCATCAGATCTCTTGGTGCACGTGGACCACCTCACGTTCATCCTGCTTGGCGCGGGGTCGGCCATGTTGATTGTTCTTCTAGGGAACTCTTGGGTATGTGATCGATCTACTTGAGAGCGATGATGTGCAATCCCTCCTGCGCCAGCATCCTAGTTTGCAACAGCGCGTGCTGGGCTTGGTGTTTCTATGGGCCATGCGCAAGCGTCACAGCAAGGTATGTTACTGTGCAAGCTGGTGCACTCCTTACGTCCTGCTTGTCGCCCGGGCCCAACCTCACTTCAACCGCTGAGCTCCAGGAGGCAACTACAATCTCTATGCAAGAACGCCTGTGGGGCAAGCTACCCGTCTTGCGTAGCTTGCTCAGCTCTGAGGAAGCGATCGAAATGAGCGAGGAGGAGTTGGCCAAATTGCCTCACGCCGAGCGTACGGCGGCATCGTGTGGGAATATTGTGCGCGCCCTTGGTACGATATGGATCATTTGCTCGTGTTCTTGGAAAAAAAGACGCCTGTTCCTCCTGGTCCCCACTGGCATCCTGCTTGGGGGCCGTGATTTTCCAAGACGTCCCTGCTTGCTGTGCAGTGTCGAACAGCGTACCCTAATCCTTCTCTTCGATTGGGTGTGAGTAGAGGCATTGTCTCAGGGCAATGAAAAGCTGGGCTTACCCTATCACTTGACGCTCAAGTCTCGTGTGAGTCAACCAACCCTGCTGGTCGCTGTCTATCGTCTTCCCACTGCATTGGCTTTCTTGCCTCTTTGCGTTGTTATTCATGCATTATCCTGACCTCTTTTCACAACTCAAGGTCCGGAACTGGGACGCCATCGAACGGGAGGCCGAGGGCAAAGTTCGCAGCCCCGACTTTAAGAAACAGTTTGATGAGCAGGTGAGATGACCTCGATTGCTAGGGCCCATCAAGGCCATCATGTCTGCAGACTTGGGTATCTCACTCCTGCAACGCTTGGCCTTGTACATTTTTCTCACCTTTCCCTGATGATTGCAGGTGAAGATGAAGAAGGCCGGGGAAGCTGGGGCCGAGGCGGCCGCCCCACCCAAGGCAGTGGTGATCAGTGACGACGAGGAGAGCGATGACGAGGACGAGGCCGGTGCAGCCTCCGAAAGCACGTCCAGTGCCAAGGTCACGCAAGCACGCGCCGATCTTGTTCTGTCCCAGCTCGCGCAGAAGAAGAACGAAGGCAACACTTTCTTCCGAGGTAGTATGTACGAGGATGCCATCGGCCTGTACACTGATGCGGTGAGCCTTTGCCCACCAGAGTTGCTCGAAACACCGAGCATGCGGGCTGAGCTCAGTCGTCTATTTGGGAACCGAGCAGGTACGTCGCGGGCGGGCACAATCGACGGGTGGCAGAGATGTCTATTACACGCCAATTTGATTATTAACATGTGTGTGTGTGTGTGTGTGTGTGTGTGTGTGTGTGTGTGTGTGTGTGTGTGTGTGTGTGTGTTTAGAATGTTACCTGAAGCTATCCGACTACAAGTCTGCTCTCTCTGATGCCGAAACGTCTTTGGCGCTCGACCCTACTTTTGTCAAGGGCCTCTATCGCAAGGCCAAGGCACAGCAGGGGCTTGGTGATTCCGCCGCGGCCATTGCTGCGCTGGACGAGCTTGTGAGCAAGGATCCCAGTAACAAAGCAGCCCAAACCCTGCTGAGCGAGTTGCGCTCGTCTTCCTCAAAGTGAGCATAGTTGATATGCATGGGATTGTGTGCGGTCAATTACAGAATGCGTCATCAAAGGCCACCGGCGGTGAGACAAGAAGAAAACAACCATAGCATGGGCCACACGAGCCGGGACAGCATGGGCCACACGAGCCGGGACAGCATGGGCCACACGAGCCGGGATAGCATGGTTTCACTTGCGAGTGCGAATACCATCTGCCCTAAACGGGCGCCACAGGCAACCCGTTGGCAACCACGCCAAACGCCAGTCACAAATACAATGGGGAACCACAATGTCTGCTCCCCCTCCTTGCTTGGGAGGGCGTGGTATCAAGGAAAAGGACCCACAACTGCCACATCAAGGTGGGGTATCAGGCAAGGCGGAGAAAAAAGTCAAAGTAAGAAAAGAGAAGAGAGGGAAACTGCAAAGTGTTGAGCTCGGCTCTATAAACTTATGCGTCGCTGGGGTTCTGGATGACGATGAGAATGTAGTCCTTCTCTGTGGAGGGGTAAGATTCCGACAGGAGACAGCCGCGATCAGCGAAGAAGCGAAAAACGACCATGCATGTCAGCGACCGTCTCTTTCTTCATGTCAAAAAATCAAGGGGCACGCAAACCCACCTGGCGCCACCATGATCTCATGCTTCTTGGAGCGGATGCGCATAAAGGTCAATGAATCCTGATAAGTAAGGCCAAAAGGTGAGAATGCGTGAAATGAGGCCATTAAGGCATTCTTGGCATTAGGTGGGCCCATGCACGTACGGTGGGCTCGATTTCGCGCACGACGTGGCTGGCCTGCGCTGTAAGCCTCGAGAGAAGCCCGGCATACTGGTTGCGCAGGGCGTTATCCAGAGTCGACTTGATGGGCGCGCCTGCGCAACACAAGTCATCGCCAAGTGGGTGAGCTCAAGGCGCTTGTCCTCTTCTCTCCCGTCGCCGCGCGTCAGACGCTTAGCGGGGGAAAAAGACACGACGAAGACTTGGTTGCGATCCAAGACGCACCGTCCTTGTCGATGATCAGGATGCCCTCAACTCCCTTGTGCGCGCTGATGCGCTTCAGCGTCTCCTCAACTTCCGACTGCGAACGAACCATGGCAAGGGCAGATGCGCATGAGCCGGCAGAAGCCAAACGACTAAGCTTACATCCGTGCATCGCAACATACCATGATTGCGGAGAATAGATCGACAGGCTACACTGCTTGAGCAAAGGTGGGCTCTCTGATCGGAAACCGTCCGCAACTAGCGAGCCGAGCGAGCGAGCGAGCTTTGTAGGAGAAAAAAAAAAAAAAAAAATACACTGTCGCTTGATGCCGTCAGTCAGACAAAGAGTTGTCTCGTCTCGAAGGAAACCTCAAAGTTAAATCAGTAGAGCCGAGTTTTTCCTTCTTAAACCGATTCACAATTCCAGCGCCTCAGCCGTTCAAAACGTCAGCAGAAATAGCTACCACATGCAAGTTTCAGCTTGCTGCTACCAACAGTCATTCCATATGACATGTGGTATGAAACGGTGTGCAGTTTCTCCTTGCCGCGTGGGCCGGCACAGAACGCCTTTCACGCCTCAGGTGAGACAGCTCGACACACACACACGTGGGTCAAGGGAGGCGGCCTGGCCTGACCGCCGCGTGAAGTCAGGCAGGCTAAGCGGGTAGGGCGGAACAGAAAAAAACGGTCGTCTCGATGAGGTGTCCGGTAGTGGCCTTTAGAGGCCGCCGAATCGGGTGCTTTGTTACCTTTTGCCACCTGTTGTGACGGAGCCCTCACCAACTTTGGTTGTTGCATGTGTAGGGCAATGCTCAGATAGTATTCTTCAACGCTATACGTCTTGCATAACCAACTCAGCCTGTGCTGAGGGTGCTTTGCACACCAAGTGGCACTACCCTGTCCCATTGTGGCCAGCGAGCGCACAGGTTCGTCGTCCAGCCGCCACCTATTTTTCTGTTTTGGTCGCTTGTTCAGATCCGCCCGACTTGTTGACTACACACGTGGTTGACGAGCTTCGGGGCGTGCTTATCCCACACAACCATTCCATGTCATCCTCATGCCCTGTTTTGTGCAGTGGTTGTTTATCAGACCAAGTTTCTTGATCGACCAACATCATGGGCAAAGGCAAGAAGAAGTCGCGGCGCGATGACGATGATGACTGGTGCGTCGTTTTGTCTTTTTCCGATGACTTGCGTTTATCAACACTCAATCTCATATCGAAATGGCGTCGTATGCCTCATGTGCTTATTTGTGGTGCAGGGAGGCTGAAATGGAGGCCCTGAACAATGAGGTGGCTGGTACTATCGAACCTGAAGCTGAGACTGCTCCCGCGGCAGCTAAAGGTACGTTTCTGTGCCCCCCCCCGCACAACACTGAATCTTGCTTTCTTTTTTTTTTTAGCCGGATTTGCTGCACTCGCCGTGAGTGACGACGAGGAGGATGCTGCGGCGGCGGCTGTCAGCGAAGACGAAGCCCCCAAGGGCAAGAAGGGAGGAAAGGCTGCTGATGTCGATGAGGACGACAATGACGGCGACGAGGCGGCGGCCGTCTCCACGATGAAAACGGCTGCTCAGAAGAAAGCTGAGAAGAAGGAGCGCGAGCGTCGTGAGAAGGAGAAGAAGAAGGAGAAGGAGCGAAAGAAAAAGGAGAAGAAGAAGCAAGATCAGGCGGCTCAAGAAGCTAAGAAGCAGCAAGAAGCAGCTGAGCTGGACAATCTGCTGGAGGAGCAGGGCCTTGCACCCACCAAGGCAGATGCCCCGGAGACATCTGCTGCCGCGGCAACAGATGACAATAAGGCCGATAAGGCCGATGCTGACGAGGGCAAGGATGACAATGGAAACGACGATGACGACGACGCCAACGAGGATGGCGATGATGGCGATGATGGCGGAAGCTCCAAGAAGAAGAACAAAAAGAAGAAGAAGAAGAAAGCCGCTGCCGAGAAGGAGGAAGAGCCCGCCAAGAGCAAGAAGCCTGTGAGCAAGATGGCTGCCAAGCTCAAGGCGCAGCAAGAGGCTCGCCGTCTCGAGGAGGAACGCATTGCCCGTGAGATTGAAGAGAAGAAGCGTGAGCTTGAGGAGGAACTTCGCCGTCAGGAGGAAGCCGAGCGTGAAGAAGAAGAACGTCGCCAGCGCAAGAAGCAAAAAGAGGCCGAGCGCAAGGCCCGTCTGCGTGCCGAAGGCAAGCTTCTCAGCAAGGCCGAAAAGGAGCGCCAGCGTATGGCCCGTGAGAAGCTGGAGCAAATGAAGGCTCTGGGCATGGAAGTCGAAGCCCTACAGGACCCGGAAGCACAGCGCAAGCGACCCGTTTACACGAAGAAGAAAAAACAACACAAGTCCACCAGCAGCGATGCACCCAGCACGCCGGCGGCAGACAAGACAACCGCCGACGATACGCCCGCCTCACCAGCACCGTCTTCTCCCAAGGCCGAGGAGAATGAACCGGAAGTCGACAGTTGGGAGGAAGCGGCGGCTGACTTGGTCCCGGACGAACCAGAGGCTGTTGCAGATGATTGGGATGCGAGCGAAAGCGAAGACGAGCAAGGCGATAATGCCGACAAGAAGGCTGCCCAGCCAACCAAGGCCAAGGCCGCTGTGGCCACACAGAGCAAGGTGGCTGACAAGGCCGACGCCGCCGACGCCGCTGAGGACTCTGCGAGTGATTCAGAGGGCTCTGATGACGACGAATCAGACTCAGGTTCTGATGGCTCTGACTCTGACGAATCAGATGAAGAGATTGAAGGCGAATTGTCTCTGCAAGAAATCAAACGCCGCATCGCCAAGCGCAAGGCTGACGCCGACGCTAAGAAGGACCTCGAGGTTCTTCGCTCGCCGATTGTGGCTGTTTTGGGTCACGTCGACACGGGCAAGGTAAGCCATGGCGGTTTTTTTGTCGGACCGCGAACCTATTTGACGTGTTCGCACCGCCCGTGTGCACTGTGCTTCTGGCTCATATTCTGTTGCTTGGCTTCAACAGACGAAGATTTTGGATAAGATCCGTCGTACGAACGTCCAGGATGGCGAAGCTGGCGGTATCACCCAGCAGATCGGTTCGACTTACGTGCCCTGCGAGGAGATCCAGAGGCAGTCCAAGACCTTGAAGAAAGCCCAGGGCTTTGACTTTAACGTACCAGGACTGTTGGTGATCGATACCCCTGGCCACGAGGCCTTTAGCAACCTTCGCTCTCGCGGATCCTCTCTTTGTAACATCGCCATCCTTGTGGTCGACATCATGCACGGCATCGAGCCACAGACGGCCGAGTCTATTGAGCTTTTGCGTCGTCGCAAGGCCCCCTTCATCATCGCCCTCAACAAGGTCGATCGCCTCAACGGCTGGGTACCATCTCCAAATGCTGCCATTCAGGTATCCCTTGCAACTGGGTGCATCATGTTGCCCGTTCATTCCTGCATTTGTTTCTTTTCTCTTCTTTTGGGGGTTGTTGTGTGGTATACAACCCCGTTCTGGGTCGCCAGTGTTGGTGACCCTGGCCAGCATTCATTGGGCGTGATGAAAGCAACCTTTTCCCCATGATTTTCATGAGTGTGGAAATGCTCTAGAATTACCCTGACCCATGGGTCGCTGAGCCATAACACTGTGGTTGTTTGTGGCGCTGTTTTCTTTCTGTCTTTCTTTCTTGCTCTTACTTATGGCACATCTCACGCGTTGATTTCACCGTCGTGTTGTATTGCAGAACTCGCTTAAAAAGCAAAAGCCTCACACCATGCAAGATTTTGAGACCCGTTGGAATCAAGTCAAGGTTCAGTTTGCCGAGAAGTCGCTGAACGTTGATCTGTGGTACAACAACAAAAACATGAAGGAGTTTGTCAACGTGGTGCCAACCTCCGCACACACGGGTGAGGGTATTCCGGACCTCCTCTTCATGATTGTCTACCTCAGCCAAAAAATGCTGGCTCGTGACATCGCGTTTTCGGAAGAGCTCGAGTGCACCGTGCTCGAGGTCAAGACCATCCAGGGTTACGGTACCACCGTCGACGCAATTCTGGCCAATGGGCATATTCGGGAGGGCGACACGATTGTTGTGAGTGGCCTAGAAGGCCCGATCGTCACAACGGTTCGCTCATTGCTGATGCCAGCACCCATGAAAGACCTTCGTGTGAAGAATGCGTACACCACCAACAAGGAGGTCAAGGCCGCGCAGGGCATTAAGATTGCTGCCAAGGACTTGGAAAAGGCTGTGGCAGGCTTGCCTTTGGCGGTGGCCCGCCATGCCTACGAGCTTCCCTATTTGAAGGCCGAAGCCGAGGCCAACCTCGCCGCTACTCTCAACGCCATCAAGACTGTCGACGAGGGCGTTGTTGTTCAGGTGAGAGGGAGAGATCTTCGTCTTTTGACATGCACTGTGCCTCAAAAAGCGTGTTTCTGTTTGTGTATCTACCGACACCCAAAGCCACCACCACACACACTCACATACATACACACACGCACGCGCGCGCACACATTCGCACACACCCACTTCGCTCGCGCACCGATCAGCTTGCCTCCCACGGCTGCTCGTTGTTTTGGTACTTTGTGCCATCGCGAAGAAGAGCAATTCTTGGTCTTTTCCCGGGCATCCTCTCAACTTGTCTCACGAGGTGTCCGGAGTAAAACCTTGATACATAACCTGCTTTGTTATTGTTATGCGCGCTCGTCTTGTACTACCATGCAAGTCGCGATTGCCCTCACGCCGACGTGTCTCGTGCTCGTCACAGGCCTCAACACTGGGCTCTTTGGAGGCCCTCATGACCTTCTTGAATTCTGAGAAGATTCCTGTTTCTGCTGTCAACATCGGCCCCGTCTACAAGCGCGATGTTTTCCGTGCCTCCATCCAGCTTGAGCGCAACCCGAAATATGCCATGATTCTGGCCTTTGACGTTCCTATTGATCGTGAGGCGCAAGCAATGGCCGATAAGGAAGGCATCAAAATCTTCTCAGCTGACATTATCTATCACTTGGAAGAGCGCTTCCGTGAACACATGGAGGTGCGTGTCACTAATGCACTGTCTTCCTTCATCTCCATCTCAGACTTTTCTGCGTTTTCCCTCACGTCCTGCTTGGTTTTGGTTGTTGCATCCCCTTTCCTTAGGAAGTCAAGCAGCGGTTGCGTGAGCAGTTCAAATTTGTGGCTGTGTTCCCCTGCCGATTGCGTATTCTGCCCGAACATATCTTCAATGCCCGTGACCCCATCGTGGTGGGTGTGCACGTTGAGGAGGGCGTGGTGCGCGAGGGTACCCCCTTGGTCATTCCTGGCAAGGAATTCTTGGAAATTGGCGTCATCGCATCACTCGAGTTTGACAACAAAACTGTCGACTTGGCCTACAAGGGCCAGGACATTTGCATCAAAATTCAGCCCACGGGTGCCGAGAAACGCATGTATGGCCGCCACTTTGATCACACGGACGAATTGGTCAGCAAGATTTCTCGCGAGTCAATCAATGCTTGCAAGGATCACTTCCGTGATGACTTGAAGAAGGATGACTGGAAGTTGATGGTCAAGCTGAAAAAGCTGTTCCAAATTTTGTAGTTTCTTCATGTTTAGTTTTCGTTCACTGTCCATCACCCACACTTGGTGTGTGTGTGTTTCCTTTCTACTCCTTGCTCCTTTTGGGAGCCGAGCTGGTGCCTCCTTGCCATGTTATTGTTCGCCATTCATGTGTTTGTTTCTCTCTCTCTCTTTTTTTTTTTCTTCTTTTGCTTGTTTCATATTCTGCTTTTGCCTTGGAGGCACCACATGCGCGTGCGCAACCAAATTCTTGTTGTCCCCCTTTTTTTCAAGTCCACCTGGTTTGTGGCCGTGGCCACTTTGTTGCGCGTGGCTTGGACGCAGCTGAAATCGATTAATGCTGCCAAGATCCTTTTGTTGCATACCATTTTGCTGCATTGCATCAATAATGGGCCGTGTGTACACACTCGGCAAAGACCGGCATCAGGTGGTAAAAGCAAACTTGAAATGACAGAGAAGGGAAGGGGGTCCTCAACCAAAGGTGAATTAAGCTGACCATCGAAATGTCTGGGTCTTGTGCGTGCGGGTGGTGCGCACAACAGTCGGAAAGTGTTCAACACCCCAATTCTTATTTCTTGGCTCGCTTCGCCTGAACCTTGGCGCGCACCTCCCGATCATGGCGCTGTCGCTTGGCATACTCTTGCACCGACTGCGGGTGACAGTCGCAGACACAGACGGAGAAAAGTCAGCTCAGGCCGACACACAACGCTTTTTGAGCGAGTACAGTGAGCAGGCAACAATCAAACGCGTACCTTTGTGGCAACCATGGGTGTGATGATAGCGCCAGCCCGAGTTTCTACGCGAGGACGGACGGCTGATCGGAACGACTGATCTGTGTTCCACTCCTTGCCTAATAATACCAAGGCAAGGGGTGAGACACCACCTTCAAGAGGTCATGCATGCTGACGGTCCAAAATGCTGAACACTGTGAATCGTACCAGTAGGAGCACGCAGGGTCTTTTGCAGTTGTGACCGCTCTTCAAAACCGTGAGGCAAGACTTGAATCTGGCGTGCCGCTAGTCGCTTATCAGTCTTTTCGTTAATAATCACAGTTTTCAGCTTATCATCACGACGCGGCTTGCGTGCCGCCGCCTTCTGCACAATCTTGCGCGCTGGGAACGGGTTTTGTACATTTTGACCACCCCACACACCCCAGCCGGGAAGCGTCAAGTCCTTGTCCTTTGGTTTGCTCCCTTCGGTCACAGCTTCCTTTTCCGCCTCAAAGTCCTCCTCCAGAACGTTGTCGCCGGCAAACGCCTGAGCACAGAACCAAATGCATCCAGGGTAAACATGAGTTTCAGTCGGGGCAACAGCCGATTCTTGCGAGCACGCTAAAGCGGGCACGTTGCAGGAACCAACCTCACGGATCAAATCCCGTTGCGCCTCGTTACCCTTGCTCAAGTCCAAGCGACCGGCAGGTCCATGCTGGCTTGCGCCGGCATCTACTGGGACCAAAAGACATCGTGCAAATGTGTTAGATCAACCCACGGACGGCGGATCGTACAAAAAGGGGAGCGCCACTTCACCTTGCACAGCGTTCTCAATCAGACGAGATTCTGCCTGCTCATCCGCCTGTCACGTCACCGGATTTATGGGTCAATCGTGTCAGAGTAAAGGTGGTTGTGAATGAAGACATGTGTGAATATGCGCTACAAACTTACATCGGGGCGCACAGTCATGGCGTCTTGTAAGCCATGCTTAACTTTGGCTCGTTGAAGCTTGGCCTGACGTTTTTCTTGCTTGGTAGATTGACTGGTCAAAGCCAACTCGGGGGTCAAGCCTGTTGAGCGGCAACGGCAAAGAGCGAGAATGCACGCACAGGACAAAGTCAGCAGGCTTTTAGAATTGGGTGAGGTCGTAGGCGAGCTGCAGATGCACACCAGATGCAGTCGTGGTGTCAATGAGCCACGGATTGGCAGCGGCGCCGTTCTTAGGGCCGTCCAGCGGGTTACTTGTGATCTTTGGCTCTGGTTCCGGCTCTGAGGCCGCCGAATCATCCATACCATCGGCCTCGCTTCCTGCTTCTTCGTCCTCATCCTGCTCATCCTATGACAAAAAATGAAATGGGGTCAGTCCCAGCACGCACAACGCGTCGAGGCGAGCCACGTGGCAAGATAATTAATCAGCCTTTACCTGTGATGAAGAGCCGACTGCATCTTGTGGTAGGGCAGGCACCGCAACTTGCATGTTGCCCGCAACGCGCAGTGAGGTCTGTTCACGACGTCCACCAGTCAGACGATTCAAGGCGGCAAAGGCGCCTGTTTCATCGTCATCGTCACTGTCATCGTCGCTGCCACTATCGCTGTCGCTGCCCGAGTGCTTGTCGTCATCGGATCCTCCCGTGACCTTGGCCGATCGGCGCATTTTGGTGCTAGGGTCAAAAGCCAAGCGCAGCGCATCGTCGACGTCGTTGGTGCTGGTCTCGCCCAATAGCTCTGCCTTGAGTTCTTGCAGTTCTGAAGAAGGGATAAGGGCGAAGGAGGGAGAGGGAGCAAGGAGAAGCAAGAGAGAAGTGGGTTGACAAAACGATGAGAGCAAAAAAACAAAAACAAAAACAAAAAACAAATGCAGCAAGTCGCCGTAAAACCATGCCAAGCAAAAAAGCCCCACCTCGATTGGCATCAGCTCGCTTCTTCTCCACGGCTCGCTGCATAAACTTGAGCGAGCTGATGGTATTTGAAAAGCCTTGCAGCTCGCTAGGCAGCTCAACCATATCCTTTTCCAACTCGGCGACGTGGTGGGCCACTGCCACAGGCGACACAACACATGCACACGCACACGCACGCACACACACGGCGCCGCGCAACAGAATGGTGAGGAATGTGTATACCGTATTCGAGGTGAGGGGGTTGAGAAGAGCAAGATTCCATGACCATTCAGAGCCAATGCTCTGGCCGGACTGTACGCACAGTTGGACTCTGAAACGTCTGATCCTGATGAGTATGCCTCGTGCTGTGCCTCGCCTTCATCATCATCATCGCTCTCCATGCGCATCTTGCGGCGCAAAGCCTCGCTCTTCTGCAGCTGCTCGGCAATGGCATCTCTGCATTGACACACAACGCATGGCCATTCAGACAAAGAGTAACAAGCATCAGAGGAATGATGACCAAGGGTGAAAGCTCGGTGGGCATGAGCCAAAACCAGACGTCGCCGCTTGCTTGCCCAAGCCCAACATGCATTGGTCAAACTTACCGAGTGTCTTGGTTCCCCTGGCCACGTTGGAGCATGCGCTTAGCCCACTTGCCCTGGTTCTTGTGTCGCAAAGTCATGCGTTCCTGCGCAAGCATGCAGCACATTGTTTGGTTATTTCAAGTGCAGGTGCGGGAGAAGGGCCACCAATCTGTCTGCATTTGAAGCGAGTGAGCTTGTAATCCATGCGTACCCGTGCACGATCCTGTTCTGACTTGAGCAACTCCTGCTGCGCAGCTTCAGGGTCAGCCTCCCGCAGTTCCTCTATGCTGAGTGCCTCGCCATCTCGTTGCTACAAGCAGCGATGCAAGATGAGGAAGAGAAACCATATTTTGCAATGGCAAAGCGAATATAGCACAGAACACGAGCGGGGGACCGGACGAGTCCCAGAAAAACAAACCTTCTTGCGAATTTTGCGGTATTTCTTGCTCTTGATCTTGTTGGCCCGCCGGCACTTAGCTTCGTAATAAGACTCAAGGGCGCGCAGCTTGGCCAACTGTGCTCGCCGTTTGCGAGCCTCAGCGGGGTCCATGGCTAGAGTTGGCGCATATATTATTGACAGTCGGCATACAGGGCGTGAACTCGCATAAATGTCAAGATTTGGCCATCCAATCTTCTGCCCTTCCCACGTGTATGCTCCACAGGCAAAAACATACAGCGCAATGCCAGTTCTTCTGCATCGGACAGGCCCTTTTGAGCCTTGATCACGGTCACGCTATTTGTGAGAAGGGAGTCAACTTGTTTTTCCAAATCCGTCTTGGCTTCAAAACGGGCAGTCAAGCCCGTCATGGTGTTGCTTGGCAGGGCGGATGTAGGCACAAAGTTCAAGTGCTCAGCTTGACGATTAGCCGTCACCGTGGGCATCTGCAGCGAGCACGAAATGGGAAGCACACGACACACGTGAGCTCGCACAGACATGTCAGGGGAGAAAGACATGGCAAAAGTGTGAATTGTTCGAAAGCCAGCAAACTTACCCATTTGCTGACTTCCCGCGACTCTTCCTCATACACCACTTGACGCTGGACGCGTGCTTTTGCACTGCGCACCAGAGGTTTGTCCAGGCTCAAATTGGCTTTCTCCAACTGCTCTGCTTGCTTCTTGACAGCTGAAATCGGTCAGTCATGAGCGTGGAGACGGGCGCAAAAAAAAAAAAAAAAAAAAAAGCGGATGAGAATACATATACACAAGACAATTGGTGCTTGTAGGGACGAGGATCAGGCTTCACACCTCCAAATGCTGCCGACTCGGCCAAGGAGTCGGTCAGGTCATGAAGCTCTAGCTTCGCAGCGGGGCGAAGGGCCGCTTCGCTTGCAGCGGTGGCTTCCGAGCGTTCGTGCTGACGGCGGCGGGACTTGTTCATTTTCGACAGCTTGGCCAACAAAGCCGTGTGGGCCTGTTCATCCTCTTCATCGTCCTCATCGTCCTCATCGTCCTCATCGTCTTCCTCGCCAGGGCGTACGGTTGGGGCACGGCGAGAACTGGTTTCGGTTGACGCATCCTCATCGTCTGCAAAGCCGGTAGTTAGCATTTCTGACAGGGAGATGCCGCCCGTCTCGCCATCGCTCTCATCCTCATCCTCATCATTGAGATCGTCTTCGCTGTAGTTGGCCTTGTCGTCTTCGTCCTCATCCAGCAGGGCAAGGCCACCTGCAGCGCGAGCGTTGCGCTCACGACGGCTCTTGCGTGAGGAGCCAGCTGCCTTGCCCTCAGATTCATCTTCGACAAAGGTAACTTGTTTGGCAGCGTCGCGCTTTGTAAACATGTGACCAAACATCTCTTCATCCTCTGTGTTGAAAGCCTCATCCGAGTCAATTTCCTCGTCAGCAAAGTTGGCGGGAAGCTCGTACTCATAGTTTTCCATGTCTGCGCGAATCTTCTCCATGTCATAATCCTCCATCTGGTCTGCCTCAAACACATCATGCTTGGCAAAGGTCTGCGAGTCCGGTGCCCACAAATCTAGTGAGCTGGCACATTGCGTCGCAACGCTGAAGTCTCTTATATTCCCTCATTCAATGCCATCAGAAATAAGTTCAATGCCAAGTCGGGCTCTCTGTTCGGTCACGCCTCACCTGCTCGGGCTTGGACGCCCGACCCTTGCCGGGTCGACCACCACGCGGCGACTTGTGTTTCTTGTTGTTGGGCTTGCCCATCGCGAC